GATGCCGAGTGAAAAGACATGAGCTTTTATTATCGTCCGTGCATGCTTTTACTATTCTGTTTGGTATGCATGAACGCTCATGAATATCACCTTAAAGCTGTACAGACAAGATATATTCGGAAAAGCATCAATGCTACTATGAGCCAGAGCCCCTGTTTCACTCTCCACACATTATCTTATCACTAAGTTTTTGCTCTGTCTTCCTGATATTTGCTCAGTTGTGTCTTATCCATGTTTCCTTCTGGTTTCTAGCAATGATGATCCTGCTTTTAGCCAGCAGACTTATCTCATTTTTCTCAGGTGGTTGTCAGGTAGATCATCTCCCTCATCTTGTCTGATGTGCAGTTACCATTTAAAAACAACATGCTTGCAAGAAGGTGTTGAAAAGACCATTTACAAAGTTCATTTATGGGCTTAATTGTGAAGGAAACTCGTAGACAGGAGACAGAAGTGCTTCAAGAGACACATAGTAGTAAGCTGCAATATCCTATCAAATCCCAGTGATGTGTTAAAATGTATAATACTCAAGAGTGTGCTTAAACTTTGCAAAACTTGTTTGGTACCGAAAAGCCTAAATAGTCCTTTTCAAAAGCTAGGCTCGTACCTGGCCATGCAGAATTCAAAGTTTCCACGTTCAAGTTTCATGTGTACCCAGGGCTGAAAGACAAATCTACTAATAGCCTTTGGCATTTGCAGAAACGTGTAAGCCCAGCTGCCACCACTAGATGTCATAAATGATCCTTTTCTTGTCATCCTTTAAGCTTTTAGCTTCCCATCTGTCATGTGTGCTTCCTGCCTCTTGGCCTATACCATGCTCTTCTTCGCAGTACCAGCCTTTCCCAACAATCTGGGACAATACAAAGCCTGGATGATGTTGATGTGAGGTGTCTGCTGGCTTATGCCCTAAATAGATGCTGAGTTGTGAGTTTTTCCCGAGTTCAAGGTACCTGAGCAGAGTGAGGAAGGAGAGGTACCCACAGTCTGGAATCATGGGACATGCTTTAGCCATTATGTGCTACTGTAGAAGACAGCACAGGATAGAAACTACATCCTTAGCTGGCTTGCTCCTCACTACCCTCACAGCTTTTCAACTTAGACTACCTTTGTTGTGGTCAAAGGTGCAGTACAGTGTTATGAGTTACTATTCCTAGGTTGGTTGATGAGTTAGGATTGTTCTCAATGGATGCTGTTTTGTAGACCAACCTGTGCCACCATTTTGAGCTGTCTTTAGTATCACCAAGTCATGTAAACCCTTCAGAGAATATCCCCACTCATCCTGAATAAACCCTCCAAATAACACTGAGAATTCAAGTCCCAGAAAACAAAACTTCCTTAGATAGCTATGACACCTCTGGGCCCTCATAAACCAATCCTGGTGGAGAGTGGAGCTATCAGTCATTGGCATAGCCAATGACTGGCCCGAAATAAGCAGCATCCACAAAACTTTTATCAAGATGAATTGAGATGATCGCAACTCTTTGATTATTAAGTAGGTGTTCAAAAGGGTTGCTGGCCACCCTATTTGCACAAAAGAGGGAAGACTTAAGTCCATTGGGCTTTTGGACCCCACCTATGTGTTTGGCAAGGTACAGGTCTGGGAGGACATCTCTGGACAGTGGCATATCTGGACTGTCTCACCATTTCTTCATGATCCTTCCACGATACTGGGACTTGGGAGTTACATAAAAATGTAATCTCTGCTGTATGAGTTTGGGGCTGTGCACAGGAGAGAAGGCATGCATCAAAAGTAGCTTTTGGACATTTTTTTCTGCTATGGTGGAAGAACCATTGGCTATCATCCTTACCCCTGGATGTGTTTACATATTTGTTCCAGCCCTTGAGCTTTTGAGTCTTCAGGGGCAAATTTTTGGTGGAATAGCTGCAGGATCTATGTGTGGGTCTCTTTGCTTGCCTTCTGTAGGTTGACATGACAGTTGATGCTTTCTGTAACTATGTACATGGTCTATGAAGGGGTAGTTGTATCTCTCTCCCTCGTGGGAGTACCCAGGATCTTCACAGTCTCTGTGCTCACTTACTCCATTCTTGAAGCTCTTCCACATCTGCTACCCAGTCATTGACTGACCACAAGTGATTAGACTTTTGATGTTTCCATGAAAACACCCCTGACTGGATGTTTCCATTCTTAGCCCCATTGTAGGAAGGAGAACAAAGCCTGGAGTGTCATGCTGTTCCCCAGTTCAGCCAGTGCAGGAGAAGAGCCTGCAACCAACACCAGAACTTCTGAGTGCTAGGACCCTGTGACTTTCCACAGGGTATCTAGGATGCATCTGGTCAGGCAGTGTGGCACAAGTTAACTCATTCCAAAAAAGCCTGACATAGTGCAGAAAGCCCACAAGTCCCTGTCTCTATCTCCTTCAGCTCTTGCAGGTCTCCTTGGCTAACACTTCAGAGAGATTCTGATTCTTCTGACAGGAAAGCGCCAGCCAAAAAGCTCAGACTTCAGGTTAGAGGTACAAGTGTAACAATGAGGGGTTTCTTATGCATGGATGGATTGCCAGGATGTCTGCTAGGTACAAAGACTGGTAGGAGAGAGCTGGGAACACATCTTCTGCAAGACAACCATTCTTCTCTCAAATTATACAAGCTCCTTCACTTTGTTCTCCATATTCAGCCTCCTGACACTGAACTGTTGGCCCTGCTCATGCCCCCAGCTTAGCAATTGATTGCAGCCAAGTAGCCTTGTCAATAAAAGGATGGATCACATCCTTAGGAAGTACTTGAAAAGCATCTATGCGCAGGAGCAAAGTACAAGGATCAAAATCTCTTCAGGCATTTCTGAATACAGAGAGCCTGAAAAACTCAGGAGATAAGAGAGTCCAACATCAGAGAAGCCGCCTGCTGCTGAAGCTCTTGGTAACAGGCCTGTGACTGTGAAACTTATGTATCTGTGGACTCCAGGTTCAGAAGTCTTGTGCCCAGGTATCCAGTCCTCCTCTCATATACCTCATTTGGTAGAACTTTGCAAGTCCTTACATCATGAGTGTCACGTGCTGATGGTGTCCCACTTGACACATAAGCTAAGAACAATAACCTCTGAGTGTATACAGGGCAAGGTTTAGACTTAGGACCTCATGTAAGCAGAGAGGAAATGCAAGGAGTCGTGACATGTCTACTGGCTGAGGAGCTCATTTCTCATCTGCTCTCTTGCCAGCATACGCCAGGAAAGTACAAGAGTATGGTGGAGAGCAAAAGAGGTATCCTGGGGTTTTCCATGGCTCCTTGATGTTAGTCAGCTTTCTGCAGCAGCATGCTACCATACCTACACATCGCCTGCAAGCAATATGTTGCTAATATTTACCCAATGTCTTCTAGCTGGCAAAGCTCTTAAAGCAACCCTTTGCTGTGTCTGCTGTTTTAACAAGATACACAGTCCTGGCTTTATGTAACTCTATGCTTCAAGATTCTTAGAGCCCATGAAGATTTTAGCTATGTTAAATCATTTGTCTGGAATGTGGAGTTTGGGAAATTGGCTGTTGCCTTAAATGTGCAACCTGATGAGAGTTTGTCGCCCCTGATGAGACATAGGTGCCTCATCATGAGTTCCACTGTCCTCAGGACAGGTAACTATCAAGCAAGGATGTTTCCTCTTTGCAGAAGAAGAAATGGAAAGACTTTTGAAGCTTCTGTAACTTTCAAAAAGTGGTTCTGATAAATGGGAGAGTGCAGTGCCCTTGAAGCAAGAAGAAAGCACTGACTTAGGATGAGACCTCAGGTTCATCATATGTACAATACAACCAATTCATTTTCATTCATTCATTCATTCATTCATTCATCCATTCTCCCCCTTCACTCATCCATCCCTCCCTCTCTGAGGAAAAAATGGGCCTAGAATGTCTCCAGGTTCTCCTGCCTGTGAACCTGGTCTCCCAAGTCACACATTGTTTTGTTCCTGCCTCCTATAGCAAGTTGTTTTTGGATTCAGGTCTCTGAGCTCAATTCCCTATTTCATGGCAGTAACAGAAACTTTGCCAGACTGCTGCCTCTCAGAGCACCCAGCCTGCACTGCACTATGCTGAGCTCTTCTGCACTTTGGTGGTCAAGAGTTCTTTCCTTTGCTTGGGATCCCCATTCTGCAGCTGTGCATTGTTTCTCCTTATCAACTCCAACATCCAGATGATCCTGTTTAAGTGAACCATAGACTTCATAAATTCACTGGGGTTCCTCTGCTCTCTAGAAACACCTTGGAGGAATTCTAAGTGACTCTTCACATATCACTGGGAACATGAGAGCTTGGAAAAGCTGACAGGCCTCAGCTAAGCAGCCCAGATTTGTCCTACAGATAACCCTCTCTAGACATGAGAAGTCACCAGCTGTCTGGCAAGGGTAGAATGGCAGGGGCTCCTTGCATGCATATAGGAAAATACCCAGGTCAGATATTCCACTATACTTAGGGCCAGAGCACAAGAGTTGTGAGATCAGCTGCTGAGAATCCTTTTAACCTGGGTCCAGGTTGAGCTTCCATAGAGGAGTACATAGAGATACTTCAGGAAGAAGGGCTGGGTTACAGACTGAAGATTAGGGGAGGAGTCCTGCACTGAAATGCTGCCTCCTGGCACTTGGGTGATCAGTGGGAGGGAGGGGTGACATGGACATGGAGTGGATGTGTGTTTAGGGCTGAGCTGGGAACTATGACTTCTATGTTTTAGTATGGACATATACTCAGACACATACCCTGGCTTTTACATTAAAAGAAGAGTTCTCAATGATTTGAGTTCTACAATGTATCTCAGCTCTTAAGGGAAACAGAGCAAACATTTTAATAGGTGAATAACACTTTAAGTGGCTTGATGGAGGTCACTAAACAAATAAGGTCTCTGGGTCTCTTCATTCTACAGCCTGCTGCCCCCTTTGATCACGTGAATCAATTATTCCTCCCATTGCATCTCCCCAATGCTCTTTTATATAGCTGATACTGCATGCTGTCTCCAGAGTAATATCTATTACCATGATATTGTCAACTGCATTTAGGAGGATCCTCATACTTGATCATAAAGTTTATGTAGGTTCAATTGTTCTTTTAATCAGGCATGACACGTAATATTCCTATGATGTAAGCCTGGGAACATTGCCATTTCAGAGAGCAGATAACAGATGAGTAGATTTCCAGTGGCAATCCTTCAAGGTTTACAAGTGAGATTCTCTAGGTGAGATCAGTAGACAAGGACTTCTAGCTGCACTTCACTCAGCACATGCTAAAGTCCTACCCTAGTGACAAAATCTTTCCCTGCCTCCCTATAGGAGGCCGGTCTATCCCCCAGGTGTGAGGGCCTTACCATTTCAATCTGGGAAGATTCAAGGATGGAACTATTTTGAGCTGCAAGCTGCACAAGAACTGTGAAAGACAAGCCTTCATTCTCTCCTCTGCCTCTTCTATGGCTTCTCAGTTTGCAAACAGTATGCAACTAGTGTATTGCCTAAATGGCAAGGGCACTGCTCCTGAGTTTGCTGAAGCTCACATAAGGGACAGCCACAGTGGAACATGAAGGAGCTGGACTCTTAACTGGGGCTCCCTCATGATACAACAGAAGAAAATGAAAAACACAGAGACACTTTTGCCCAATGCCATGTCTTCAGGTAGATGTTGTTCTGAGCACAGAGGCCTGAACAGCCATGGACAGGATCAATGCCTCTTACTTTATGGGGAAAAGCATAAGGAGAAAAAATTGTGGGGCACAGAAAGGTATATGGCTAGGGTCAAAGTCTTTGTGAAGGTCCTTCAGAAAAGTCAAAGTTTATGTCAGCTCTCTCAGTATTAAGTATGTCCTCATTTTTTTCTCAAACTTTCTTCTGCACAGATGCACAGATGATATGTGCGTCATTCTGGAGTGGGCCAGGTAATAAAGCTTGAAATAGGGACATCTGTGCCTGAGATGAGAGTCCAAGGCCAAGAAAAGCCCACTGTGTCTGGAAGGCTGGTGTAGACTTAGCAGTCTACATATGGTTTAGACCTTCTTAGGCCAAATACAAAGGCCAGGTCAAGCAGGAAGAATAAAGAGAAGCTTATACCAGACATGGGTGTGCCTTCTCTCGATGAAACTGCAGAGAGAAAAAGGCTGTGAGAAGCGCCATTTCAAGACAGGGAGGTCTGGGGCACAAGGAGAAAACCAACCTTCCGCATAGCAGCAAAAGCAGGCCCAAAGGTGGCTTTGACCTCCACTCGGTCTCGTATCCAGGATGGCAGCTTCGCCAAGATAGAAGGGCGGGCATACCGGTGATCCAGGAGCACAATGCTGGCAAAATCCCTCTGGTGCCTAATGGCCCTGCCTGGGTAGATGCATAAGTTGTTTAACTCACCAATACTGCATGTGCATTGGGGTCTCCTCCTTCACGGACTCCTCAAATGGACAATACAGTACTAACATCCCTCCTGCCTCAATCATCCATCTGCCCCCAGCAGCAGCCCCACACTTACCTATGGATTGGTTTATAGCCTTCATACACAGATTCTCTATCAATACCGTCCCCGGAGGGGGCTGACCTTTTGTTCTAGGCTGAAAAGAAAACAGAAAAGGAAAGATCAGAAATCTACTTTTACCTGCCATGTAGTCCAGGCTTTGGAGCAAGGTCAGGTTTCATGAGTCTGAGCCAACAGCTTGTGCTATAGTTCATGCAATAGAGAAGATCAAGTGGGCTAGAGGTATACTCCAAAACCTCTAGGGAGGAAAGCAATCATTTGTACAACAGGAGGTCTTGCTGCAGAGCCTTGTCATCCAGTCCTAGGGGGTGGCACACAGCTTCCTTCCTTAAACCCTCTGAAACACTACAGGTACTCACAAGGGTCTGATCCAAGTAGGCCATCTTCTCTTGTAGCTCTGGAGACTTAATGTTGGGGTATGGCATCCCCACCATCACCACACACCTGTATGAGTCATATGGCATAAGTCATCAAGCCAGCATGCAGCTATCACTGACACGGGATCAACTGATACTTGGAAGGAGTTACGTCTGATTTCATGGGCCTTTTATAGTGTATGTGCCTATACACATAAGTATGGAGGCCAGAGGAAGATGTCAGGTGTTGTCCTCTGACATTCTTCACCTTATTCTCTGAGACGTGGTTTTTCACTAAATCTGAAGCTCACACAATCCTAGGGTTCATGAGCAAAACTATCCAGGGGCCTGACATCTATGACACATAGTGCTTACTGGTAAATACAACCATGCAGGCTTTTATGTGTGTGTTGTTGATTTTATGTGTGTTTTATGTTGATTTGTTGTTGTGTCCTCTTACCTTCTGAGCATCCATCCTCACTCACTAAGCCATGTCCCATCCCTCCTACCACTTTTATAATACCTCTGGTTCTCCCCACTTGGAAAGGTTGTTTTAGCTCAGAGATCCAACCCAGGCAGAAGACTAGGATCCTAAGCAAGTCATGGCTGCCTACTTCTCTGGTCTAGACAGACAGACAGACAGACAGACAGACAGACAGTGATTTCAAATAATCCACCCACAGCCTACAGACCCCAAGCAGGCCATATGGGTACTGACCCTACAGCATGCCTTAGCAGTTAGGGCCCAGTGCCCCCAGTCCCAGCAGACAAAAGGACACCACACCTACCGGCCCAGGTCGTCAGAGAAGTTGATCCCTTCACTCATCTTCCCTCCAACCACAGAGAGAAGCAAGGCCCCTGTCAGATGGCCTTCTGAGTGACTGCAGCTCTGTCAGGGGAGAATCACACCAGTGTTCCTGAGCCAAATCTATGAATCACACAACTGTTCCCAGCTGCCAGATACTGGTAGTCTCTGGACCCAGCCTGACTTCCATCTCTCACCGTAATGCACTTGGAATACGCCATCAACACCTGTTCTACCTGGCTCGCTCTCTTGGGCTCTTGAAATATCTAAGGAGAGAAGACAAGGCCTCCTAGCAAAAGGCTTCAAAAGACTGATTCTTGAGCCCAGTCTGGGTTTTGAAGCATGTGGATGGAACATGTAGTCAAGCTACAGAGAATTCCTGTGGCTTGTGTCCCAAGCCTCAACTTGGTAGATGCCAAGTTAACAAGGTTGAGGGACCCAAGGAAGAGCTACAAGTAGCAATGTCCTCATAAACAAGCTAAGGGGCACTCACCTTTTTCTTGACAGACAAACGTGCCAGCAGGCCAGTCTTGTCCCAATGAGCATGTACCTGGCGCAAGTACTCATAGGAAGGGAGGAAGCATACCACCCCTCCAGGGACCACGTTGCACAAGTTACAGAGAATGCGGCCTGTCTCCTCCATCTGCAGAAAGCAAACAGCTAGCCTAGAGTAGGTCCCACAGCCACAGCCACACAGGATGGAAGCCAAGCAGCTCCCCTTTGGTATCATGCAATGTGCTCACTACTTTTAAAGACATGCCCAACTGGGGCGTGTGGTGACGCCTTGCATTTATGCCACATCCCATCACTGGTACCCCAGAGAAGAAAAACAAGACTCTTGGTATGCTACTGAGATCTCCCTATGTCCCTATTTCATGAGGGACACCAAGTGGAACAAATTGGCACTGAGATGCCACAGGAGTTGTGCCCCAGAAATTCACCCTTCCCAGGATAGAGGCAAGGAGCAAGAACCCCCAAACTGGTCAGCCTTCTCCCACCTCATGGGATGATAGGAGCTCTTTAGAAAGCATTTAGCAACAGTGAGGAAGGCAGCTAAGATCTTCCTTGATAAATATCTAAAAAAAAAAAATTACTCCACTCGTGCCCCAGATGTAACCATCCATCTCCATGCCAACGCTGGTAGTATTTTCTACCTGGTCACATGCCAGAGAGGACAGTTAGGAAGTGGGCTGGCACTAACCATCTGAGGCAGCTCTCTTCTCTGGTAGGTGAATTCCAGCTGCTGGTTAGAGGGCCCACTGCATATAATAAGGGGCAAGATGTTGTCTGGAGGGATCACGTGACCTGGTGATACCAAAGGAAGGCTGAAAACTAGTGTCCAGGTAGGGCAGTTTCTCAAATCATTTCTCCAACTAGGAACAAAAATTTGAAATGCACTTAGCTCCTCTCTGCACTGACACAGCTAGTGTAAACAATGTGGTGAGCAAAGTGAAGAACCTGAATCTGGGGAAGTGTGCTGGTGAGCAAGCCCACTAAGGTGCCAATGCAATGGCGTCCACTGCCTTTGCCCATTCTAACCTCCACACAGTTGCTTACCACAGGAAAACTCCACCACTCGCGCAGCTTCTACTCCACAACATGCCAGCAGCTGCTCCCGAAAGTCAGACACCTGCAGCAGATAACATCAGGGCCTGTGACCTCTGCGCTTGGGGTTGTGTGCTCTTGCAGTGAATGTAAGAGAAGTCTGTGACAGGAGGCAAGCCCAGTCAACAAGAAAGAAGGAACAGCCAATGACCCAAGCTCAAAGAAAACAACCGGTATCCAGTGTCGACAGAAAACTTAAGAAAAAGCAGCAACGGAAACAAGAAAGAGCAGCAACGGAAACATCAAGCCCTTTCTATATGTTCAAATCAACAATCACTCAGTCAACAATCAACAATTACTCAATCACTCAATCAACAATCAATCAATCACTACCTACAATACACAAAGAACTCAAAAAATGAAACAAATTAAACAACACAATCAGGAAATGGAGTAACAAAAGGAACAGTTCTCAACACAGGAAAAAGAAATGGCCAATAAACGTGTGAAGAAATGCTCACTCTTACTAGCCATGAGAAATGAAAATCAAAACCATGTTAAGATTCCTGCCTTATCCCAACAGAATGACAGTCAAGACTTAGGGATCTTCAGGAAGAGGGGAAGGCAGATTATAAGAGCCAGGGGTGGAAGATAACATCAAGGAAATGTTTCAGGACACACAAGGGCAGGTGACAGTGACAGATGGAATCCAGAACAAACTCAAGACAGACAGAACCCCAGCATGGAGATGGGATTGTGGGGACAAAATCCCATCACTAATTGAGGAACTACTAGACTCTGACAACTGCTGCAAGGAGGAAAGCCAATTTTCTTTTTTTTTTTCTTTTTTCTTTTTTTTTGTTTTTTTCGAGACAGGGTTTCTCTGTGTAGCCCTGGCTGTCCTGGAACTCACTCTGTAGACCAGGCTGTTCTCGAACTCAGAAATCCACCTGCCTCTGCCTCCCAAGTGCTGGGATTAAAGGCGTGTGCCACCACCTCCCAGCGCCAATTTTCTTTAATGATGTGAGCCCCTAGTGAGTGGATCACACAAAGGCAGAAAGAACTCACTACCGAGACTGACTGGGCTTTTTCTCAGAGAAGCCAGCTCCAGGGGCTGCAGACATAAAAGAGCCACAGGCTACCACCCTACCAGCCTAAAAGGCAGGGGCAGTGAAACGCACTAATAGGCACTGCTGAGCCTGCATGCGCTGGCCCATTTGTGTTTAGGGGCCTAGGGGACAGAGAAGAGAGACTGATGTGTATCCTTCCCTGGTACCTTACCGGCTGCATGGTGCCACCTGCAATGACCACTGCTCGGCATTCCTTCACCACCTGGGCAAAGTGCACAGCTGGGTTCAAGAGTAAGAATTTAAGGCTGCTCTGACCCACACTGCCTGAAAGATAGACAAATGACAAAGGGATAGAGCTGATTAAGCATAAGAAACCCAGATGATCTATGGAAGCCAGTGAGCTACCATTCTCCCTTTAAAAGAAAGCATTTCACTTGCCTTTGGTACCACAGACTATATGAAAACTCTGATGCAAAGATAGTCTGGCCAGTGTCACATAACCCTCAGACAATAGAACAAAGATAAAGTCCAATCCCATCTAACCACAACCGTGAGATTCTAGGTCTATAGGAACCTTGCCTGAGATAACTCAGCACCTCTGAAACCCAGTCTCCAGGTCCATTGGCGGCTCTAGCCTAGGAGACATGTGGTTCCTTCACATACAGAATCAGGCAGAATGATAGAGCCCTTTCAAACTAGGCCCCTTGGCTACAAGCAGTGAATTACCTTGGCGGTTCACAATAACCCTGCCATCCTGGTTGGCTGTGGTGAGAGCTGCCAGGAAGGCCTCAATGTGCATCAGTGGAGAGGCAGGCCGCAGGGCTACAGCCTGGCCCTCCTCCAGGGAGTCTGCAGAAGAGGGTAGTATGGGAAAGAAGGCCTTCCTTATATCAAGAGCATGTTCTCTCAAAGGGCCTGTGTTTGCCTCTCGTCGCTCACCCTCCTAGCTCACCCTCAGTAGTCCCTGACTGCAGGCTCTTCAGGAACTGCTGGAAGCCACCCAGACCTCGGTTTTCCTGAGAGTCTGAGAGGGATGGAAGAACAACTCCAAAACATTCTGTGAAGCCAAAGAGCTGTGTCAGGGACAAGAAAACAGACAAAAATGAGAAGAAACTCTGAATAAGACACTCAAGCCAGCCCACAGCCCATTTCCTCCCAAGCCAGGAATCACTCCACAATTCGGACAATGGAATCAGAAACCTAGAACCCTCAGGCAGCAGAGTAAGGCAAGCACAGGTACTCTGGCTCCTTGCCAAAAAACAATGGGAAGGTACCTTCCTGCTGAGCATGCTCTTCTCCAAGTACCGCTGCACCTGCAGAATGAGCACGGGCCATTTTAAGAAGGAAGCACACAGTGGGCTAAACTCTATGAGACGGCCACCCCATACCACTGAAGGAATATGGCTCACTGCCACCTCAGAGGAACCCAAAGCCACATAAGAAAGGGTGAGGCAGTGGACCATGACAGGTAGGCTGGTTCTTGGTTGAGCTAAAGGCTTTGAAGCCCTGGAGACCCTGAAGAGATGGTAGGAACTTTGACTGCTCCAGGACACCAGGCCCCTGTCACTAGCCGAAGCCCTCCATAGATTTGTGGCTATCAGTCACATAAAGGCAACACCCCAAGCTTCTCCACAGGTAGCCCTAACACCTCAGACCAAGTCAACAGGAAAAGAGACATGACCTGTGGTCACTTAGGCCCAAGACAGAGATCTCTATGCTAATGAGGTACATTTAGGACTAGAGGACATAGCCAATAAGCTTCCCTTCCCAGACATTCCTCCCTGCAAAAGGTCTCCCTGAGAAGTGGGGTATGGTTTTACGCAGCCACTTTCCACCATGGCAATAAATGATTTGGAACCACAGACTGTCTCTTTTCATCGGGATCCATCATGGGGAGCCATGGGGCTGCTGTCTTATCTCTCATAGAAGGCCTCTCTGAGCTCCCAGCCACAACCACCACCAAGCCTGCCAACCGCTGTCAAGCTAAGGACTCTCCCTGTGGGACCAACCTGAGCTCCCCTCCCCACCTCCAGCCCCCAGCCCCAGGCTAGACGTTCTCAGCTCTTCCTTAGCTCCCAGTGGGGCCTGGATATCTAAGAGCCTGAGAACCAGACAGCCCCAGCCTCTTTAAAAGCCATCAGACTCCCAAACCAGCTCCATCTGTCCTGGGTTTTAAACTGTGCTTTCCCACAGCCCAGCATGCTCCTGGAGCAGGATGAAAAAAAAAAACACAGTTGAACTTCCCATGTTCTGTCTCCCCAAGCTGCCATGCCCTGTGACAGAGCAGACCCGGGACCCACAACCCTACAAGAAATCTTACTGGTCTACTTTCTGAGTACATGTGGTGCTCAGGCATACATGCAGGCAAAACACCCAAATACATTTTTTTTAAAAAAGGCACTAACTGCATGCTGCTTCTTTCCAAGTGCCCATATGCAGACTGGGCCTTGAAGAAGAGTTAAGTTAAAAACAATTCCAAGGGTGATGAAGATGGCCCACAAGCTCACCACACAAGCACAAAAACCTGAGCTGGAATACTCAGAGAACACATAAAAGCCAGAGTCAGTTAGCACTGAGTGTCAATAACCACAATGCTCTTACTGACAAATGGGATGCAGACACAAGAAACGCCCCAGAAGCCTGTGAACCAGCTTGCCTGGCACACACAGTGGATAAGCAATCAAGAGACCCTATCTCAAACAGGGTAGAAAGCAAAGACTAACATGGGAAAATTGTTCTCTTGCCTGACACACACTGTGGCATAGGCACACCTGAATTCAAAACAAGAATGTGAGCTGGCATACACATTAAAAAGAAGAATCTTTAAAAAACCAAAGATAAACAAACAAAAAAATCAAAACCATTCCAGGCCAGCCTAATCTACAGACTGAATTCCAGGATGACCAGGGCTAGATAGTGAAACCCTACCTTGAAATGTCAAAAAACAATACAACAAAAAACAAAAACGAAAACAAAGAAGTCCAATCAGAGCAGAAAGAAGATGAGCCTGTCCCAGGGAAGGTCCAGATGTAGTCTCCCTGTTGTGCTCAGTATGTAGAGGTTGGTGCCTCATCTCAGCTTGCAATGTAGCATGAGGGTCTGTGGGAATTAGACAGACTGCTACAAAGACTGGCATCTGGTCAAGAATGCTTCAGTCAGCCTTTACAAAGTGAAACGGAGAGGTTTGAGGCAAGCTGGAGAAAGAAGCCTGCCACAAGGGTCATAGCTGTGGTAACCAAGAACCACAGGGAATGACAACTGTTCAGAGCTGAACAAAAGGGGAGAAAGGTACCAAAGATGACCAATGGATCACAGCAGTGACGATGACCAAATGTTATTCAAAGGGACCCTGATTTGAAAACTAGAAGGCAAGCAATGAGGGAGTAAGATCTAGGGTGGGTCTAGCTGGCTTTCAACACTGGCCCCATCCAGCCACCCTTGATTCACCTGTGTGTAGCTTGGGCCCGTCATCCTCCATAACAACTATTCTGAACCTGTTTTCCTGATCTTTTGTTTGTTTTGTTTCAAGGTTTCTCTGTGTAGCCCTGGCTATAGACCATGCTGACCTGAAACACAGAGATCCACCTGCTTCAGCCTCCTGAGAGCTGGAATTAAAGGCATGCATCACCACTGCCCAGCAGTTTTCCTGTTCTTAAGTGGCCATAGTATGTCCTGGCAGAGTGCTCAGAACAAAGGGACAATATCCATGGAGGCTTAATTTAGACGCACTAGGTTGTGGTTTAGTGACTTAGCGACCTAACACCTGTGGGAGCACCAGATTTCAAAGGCTAACAGAAGGCAGACAAAGGTCTGCACATGCCATCCCACCCAAGGCTCCAGCATGAAGACCGGCTAGGTGGTCCTAGCCACGCTCACATAGTACACCATGGATTATAGAATTCCCTGGAGAAGGACTGGCAGAACAGAAAAGGATAGGAATGAAGAGGCTGTGTTTATGCCAAGGGATGCAAAGAGCAACCTCCCTTACCAAACCCCACAACACATAACCCCAAAGTGGTATACAAGCCCTGGCACAACCATTTGGCTGCTGCTGTCCACTTTAAAGACCTGGTAACTGCCAAGGATCCTGATTTAGATCCTTGGATGTTGAACTACTCAAGGACAATGATTTACATATTACTACTATGTCTACTTGATTAGGTGGCTAGAGGCAAAATACAACAGGTAAGTACACAACAGTTGACCTCCTCCCCTACCTCTCCTTTCAGAGCCTTAAGTAAATCTGAAAGGTGCTTAAATCAGAATAGACCTTTACCTTGAAGAGGTTGATGTTGTCCACCTGGCTCTGAAAGAGAAAGTCATTGATGCTCTTCAGCTCAGACCCTGTGAGCAGACAAAGGATGCTGGTTTTATACCTTACCAAGTCCTCAGCTTAGTTCTGGAGTAAAGCTCTGGGTGGCTCACACCACCTCCCACCCTTGACAGCAACCTCCTCACCTGTCTGAGGCAGGCTCTGTGTACTAGGATTTTGCTTAACGTTACCTAAAAAAGGAAATTCCAATGGGTCATGGTGGCAGCTCTCTGCCCACTTCTGAGTTATAACTTTGTCCTAGCTTCATGAACTACAAGGAATATTAATGTTTCAAGAGACATCTGTTTGGGGCATTTATAGCAAACAAAGGATACACTAAAAAGACAGGAGGTTACAGGAGCTTTGTAGGTCTGACTCACACACTTCAAATGGAACCCAAGGCCAGAGAAGAGACAGGATCAGAACAGTGTTCCCACTGTCGCTGAGCAGGACAAGGGAGAAAAACAAGATCTGCCAGAAGATGGAGAGCTGTGGCACAGGCAGAAAAGGAAGTGGAAAGTACTAATGTGGGACAACAGCTTGCTAGAAAAGCCTCCACCAACTTTCTGGAAATCGAGCTCTACAGAAGCCTTTAAAGCCACTGACATACAATGAAACAGTCCCAGCCAGAAGAGCCAAAGAAACCTGGATACTGCAGTCAACAGCCTCCAGTCTCAGGAGTGACAGGCAGGCCCACCTTGAGCTTTAGTTTTCCCTCTGTGATTGAAGTTTAAAGCTCCTGGACTTCTCTTCTGTCAGTGTGTCAGAGCCAGTACACCATATGGCTGTAACTACGCCACACAACATCATGTCTTGCTGTACACTATATGATTATCATAACTGTACTGTCGGGTTTCTTAAAGTGAAAAAGCTAAGGTCAAACATCTCAACTTAAGATAGAAACAAGGACACCCTAAGGAATGACCAAAACAGTGCTTAAAAGCATAAGACACCCAAGTGTCCTCACTGGCACTCAAGAACAAGACCAACACAATTGGCAGATTAGGGGTGAGCCAGGGGATGGTACACCTACCTCCCAAAACAGTCACAAACTTCTCCAGCAAGTATAGGATCTGCTTGATGTACATCAAGTTCTTGGCCTTTAAACGCTTTCTGAGGAAGAAGCAATAGAGCAGAGTGGTAGCATTCTCCAGTAACTCCCTCCACCTGATGCCACTGGGCCTTTCTGCCTAGGGTATGACACACTGGGCTATGAGCTACAAACTAACCTTCCCTCCAGCAGATAAAAAGGGTGGCTAGACCAAGGTTTTCAGCACCTGCTGCTCTATCCCAAAGTGTCTAGGATGTAGACAGCACATACCAGGACAGACCAATTCAACCCATTCCTCTAAGACTTTGGCACTAGCAGTAACCTCCATTTGTGCTCTAGCAGGCTAATGTGGAAGCCACTGAAGCTGAGCCTGGGTAGAGCCTGGGTAGACCTTTTGCCTTGGGTAGTTTCTTACCCATATCTTTCCATGTACTGGAGCAACTGGGAATGGGCCTGGCAGAGCTGGAAAGAAAACAGAACAGCATGAAGGCTTCCCAGGATATGGTTAAGAGGATCTCTGTAGAGATCTAGGAAATGCCAGCCTAAGACATATGGGTGCCATCAAGGTTATGGGCATCTGGATAGTAACAGACAAAGCCAAAAAAAAAAAAAAAAAAAAAAAAAAACATGTACAGACAGGCTGTGGAGCTGAGAGCACAAGGGAAGAGACCAAAGCCTAAGGTCCTAAATCTCACAGGAGAACTGAGCTGGGAGATGACTTATACTCCAAGACTGAGCTTCAAGGTGGCTGATATCACATAGGCTTCACCATCAGAAGCCAGTGGTCATACCCTAGCTCACCTCAATTTGTGCAGTGTGGGCATAAGACATACAACTCTGCCCTCCATGAATCCTGAAGCTCCCAAAATTAAGCAGGGAACCCCTACCTCAAGAGAAAAACATGAGGCACAAAGAACCCCTTTCAATGCTTGACACATACCAGAGGAAATTAAACAGGAGTCTGAAGAGGCCCTGAGCATTCCTCCATTAAAGGCCCCCAAAGCAGTATCACTAATGATAAAAAGCAATACTGAGACTACTGGTCTCTGATGCCACCACCCTACTAACAGAGAACTAGTGAGCAGCACCCTGGATGAAGGAGAGCTGAAGACAAAAGCAGTCACCTTCTTCAAGCTGGCTCCCAAGAACTTCACTCTTACAAATGATCAAGAGAAGACAGGGTTTCAGTTCAGTTCACCCTCTACCAAACCCCACATCCAGAAGAATTATTGATCCAGGCATTTAAAGGAATGACCTATGTCACTCTGCCCAAAACTGGAGAGGCTGACCCACCTGGGAACCGTTGACCTCTGTGCTGTGGATGTTGGTGATGGTGTCAATCAGGTTGTGCGCCTCATCAATAATGACCACCTGACCTTGCAGCCTGATTCCAGCAGCCTGTCGTGTGGCTGCATGCAGCAACATTGGGTAGGGTAGCACCACTAGCTGTAGGGAAAGGTGATGGTTGGATAGTGAAGAAACCTGTCTTCACAGAGCAGAAGGCTTATCCTGCAATAAACTATCCAGGCCACTGAAGTTCTAATGGCACTGTTTAATTTCTTACTCAGACCTTGCGGATGGGCGAGGGGGATTCAAGCCACAGCTCAGTATTCTGCCTGTTCCAACAGCCCTTCTTTCACATGTTTTCCATGGGATATCAATTATGAGGAACTGGGAAGGGGGATGGCTGGAGTCCCTGGAAGTGAACTGAACCCTCAGGCTCCAAAGTTCTTCAACACACTGACAATCACCAAGCAGCAGAAAGCAACCATAGCCTCTGGCCCTAGGGCTACTATCTCAGCTCTGTGACTGGCAAAGTCTCATTTAAGTGGCCCCTGGGTTTTTCATCAGCTAAGTGAATCTGACAAACCATGGCAATGAGGGATGAAAACAAAATCAAATTTGTAAGTATACGTTGCTATGAAGATTTTTTGCAACAAATAAGTGAGGGAGATCACTCAGTTGGTGAAGTGTTTTCCTTAAAAGCAGGAGCTAAATTTGAGCCACAAACCCATGGGGGGAAAGGAGAGGAGTGGAAGTACCACTTGAGATTGCAGCAGCAGGGATGCACAGACAGTCTCACTTGCCAGGTAGCTTTGCCACATCCAAAGTTGTTCTCTGGCTTGTGCACACACACACACACACACACACACACACACACACACACACACAAAGATACTGACAGTATGAAAACCAGATGCCAATATGAGTACCGTCATTTAAGACAGTGAGAGAAAAGAAAATCATCTGTCTGAGCCCCAGTGTTCTCATGTAGAAATAGAGCTACTTTGGTGGGCTGTTATAAAGGAAAATGAGGTAAAAATAGCTTTCATATGTCAAGAACACACCAATCTCAGGTCTTCTATATGGTGACAGCACTACCTCACTCAGACATCTGGAGACAAGGAAGAGTCCCGCAGTTTGTCACCTACACACAGCAGGGACATCCATGAGTGAGCACTGCACTGAGCAATATGATTACCAAGACTACTCTCTTGAAATCCATTTAAGTCTCCTGGATGACACAGATCTCTTGTTGAGTGAGTTTCAAGGAAGAAGCAAGATAGCATGAAATGCTACATCCACAGTGAACAGCAGGTGGCTGTCAAAGAAAATCAGCTTTCCTCTCTGTACAAAGGTAAGGGAGGTCTAACCAAGAAACTATTGCCATGAGCTGGAAGGTGGGTACATCAGCAGTCCACCTGAAAGGCCATTTGGTTATTTTCGAGTTCTGGGCTCAGCTCCTACCCAACACTCTTTCAGTGTGGTTCCTTTGGATGAACAACACACTTCTTGGATTTCTATGGGCTGAACACTCAATAATGCTAACTGGCCTCTCACCCAAAGTTCTCTGGAATCCCTGGCCTCTTCAAACTCTATGCGCTGGATAAGACAGCTTTGTGCCATGAAAATGAGATGCAGACCAGTTGTCATGCTAATCCACGTAGGAACATCCTGCTCTAATGAAGAGGGATGAGGAAAGCCTTGTTTTGTAAACCCCGTTTACACATGGACTACTTCCCACTTCCCCAGCACACTCACCTGGGCTGCGGGGATGGCAAAGCGGCTTCCATAATAGGGGCAAGCCCGGGCCTCCTTCCCAAGGGCCACAAGTTGCTCCATGTCCTTCACCTCCAGCAGAACCTCATCCCGGAGAAGCTCCATCTGCTCATGATTGTAGAAGGGGCAAGAGGTCTGGATCTTCTGTCTCCTTCTCTTTGGCTTGTCTTCCCCAGTTCTGTTCTTTTCTGTGGTGGTACAGATGGAGGAAAGCAAGAACAGGAAGGGGCTCAGCTACATCTGGGGTCAGGAGGAGGTTCAATGATGTAGAAACACATTCGTTCATTTGGGTGGATAATTGCTGCTTACTGTAGACTCATCAGAATACTCTGGGATTTTTACTTTATGCTCTCCAAAAATAGATGGCACAAACATGTCTAAGCCAGGTCCCTGACCCTAACCCAGGAAGCATGAACACTCTTGCCCAAGGAGGGGCTTGAGGTAAAACCAGGGCCTGCTTAGCCACTCTTTCTGGTTGGCACAGTGGTCACTTCATGGCCCTGTTCAGACCCCACCACATTTCTGCCACTTCCATGTTGTCCAGCACATCTCACCAGACAGGGTCCCTATACATACCGTGTTTACTTCTTTGCATGTCCACACAGCGGTCATTCATAAGCTGCACAGAACCCAGGTTTTTTACATCTTCATTCACACAAAGGGTCTATAAGGCAGAAGAGGGAAAGCAGTAGCTTTCATTTACATTGGGTAAACCTCTACCACCAAGCTTACCCTCAGTCAACTCTAAATAATTGCCTCATCTTGACCCTTGCTTACAGAATAGACCATTAATATAAAATCTGAACACTAAACTGCTCTACTTCCTTCCAGAAAGAAATTTTAGTTTGTGCCTAAGCTATATCACACAAAATTCATCACCTCTTCTGAGACTGAACCTGTTCTCTTCAAGCATGATAACCCACTGTTTTGTATCTGTCAGTGGTGATTACTTTTTATGTGTGTGGGGTATTCTGTCTGCATGTCTGACTGTGCACCATGTGCATATCTAGTACATGCACCAAGAGGCCAGAAGAAAGCAGCAGATGCCCTGGAACTAGAGTTATAGGTGGTTGTGTGCTGCCATGTAGATGCTAGAAATTGAACCTAGGTCCTCTAGAATAGCAAAGCAGCCAGTGTTCTTACCCACTGGGCCATCTCTCCAGCCCAAGTTTATATTTTTTTGAAGCAAGCTTCTTTGCAGTCCATTGTATATAACATTTTAGGATTTTGTTTGATTAGTTAGTTTTGGGGTTTTGTTGTTGTTGTTTTGAGAAAGGGTCTCACTGTAGACCAGGCTAGCCTCAAACTCAAAAGATTCACCTGCCTCCCTGTATCCCATGTGCTGGAATTAAAGGCATGTGCTACCACATCGACTTATATGAAAGTGTTTTATGTGCTGCTATTCTGTTTCTTTCCCAATCAAGGGTGAGTTTTCTGTGAGGTTTGTTTTGTTTGTTTGTTTGTTTGTTTTCAGGAAACCTCTGCAATTTATTGAATAAAATATACTGTCCTTTGTTGTAGTCTCTGGGCCTGGATGAGAAAAACAGAAATCACAGGAGTACAGTATTTTTATTCGTTATTTTATATTTTTGAGATTGAAATTGCATTTCTTTTTCTCCTTCCCTCTCTTCCTTCCAAACACTCCTTGCTGTCTTTCAAATTCATGGCCTCTTTTTTTCATTGGCATATGTATCCATATATGTATATGTGCATACATGTTATCTTCCTAATTACAACCTGCTCAGTCTATATAATATGACTTGTAGTATGTTGTCAGGACTGATCATCTATCTGGTCTTAGATAAGCAATGGTGTGCTCTTCCTGAGGAAGACTACTTCTCCCACTCTCAGCATTTCTTAGTTCAGCTGAACATCTTTGATAGTGAACACTGACAGTGTCTTTAAAGATAAAAAGAATAGAAATGATGCTGGCTGAAGGATAAAAGAAGGACCCATGGCCTAGTCTGTGTCTCCCTCACCTTCTAAAGAATAATCGGCCAACAGAGGAGCGCTGCTCCTGTGCCCAGCTTGCCTTCACCAACATCTGTCTATGCCTAGGCCAAGAGATTAGACACAAAAGGAGGAATCTGTCTGGACAAGAACACCTTTTGCTTACCTGCCTAGAGCCAAGGGAGACTAGCCGGGTTTCCTTGCCAAAAGGGCTCTTCAGTACTTCACGCACAAACTGGGCCAACTGTGAGTGTGTCCGACTACAGTAATAAATCTGATCAGAAGAAAGTAAAGGGATTCAAAGAGGGGAGTCTTACTAGCCCATATTGGCCTGAGATACTGCAGGAGGAAAAAGGGTGGTTACAAATGCAAACTCCTGAGATGACAGAAAGTCAGCTCAGGTCTGGTTACACCTGATGAGGGCCCAGCAGTGCCTAGGATCCAAGTCTCCCACAATTTAAACTCAGCCTCATGTCCTAGGCTAGGAGACCTAGGAGACCCTAGAAAAGTGGGTTTCCCCACAGGGCTGATTATATGGCAATGATCCTTAACTCTCTGAAGAGGATGGGTGAATGGTTATTCTCTACACATGCCCTGAAAGGAAAGGTTGGAGCCTGAGGTACACATTTTGGCTGCTCTAGGATTCAGCAGAGTAAGACAGGAAAGCAGAGCACAAGGACACCCACTGTGCACAGAAAAGATACATCTCAGATAAAACAATGGACTTTGAACAAAAGATGTCATGGCACACGTAACTCACTATACTCCATGTATGTGAAACACAAGCAAGAAGAGAAACACACCATGAGAGTCCAAGAATAAGGACTCAACACTTGCTTGCTCCTACCTTGCCCTCACCACTGCCCACTGCAGAGGGAAACCCTGTGGGTCCTTGGCACAGTATGGCTGTCTTCCACATATAGAAGAGGTCCAGACAGTCAAGAGAGCAACAAGATGCCATGCTCTGTATTTGGGAAGCACACATCTCAGAAGCTAGGAGCTCTTCAACTCCAAGAGGCTGAGAAACTGCTAAAACAAAGAGTCCTAGCCTTAGAGTCTTCCCTGTCCTCCTTCTAGAAACATCCGAGAAGTGAGCAGCTTACCTTGGTTACATGTTCTTCCTCCAAGTCATCCTCAGCTTCATCCACCCTAGGAGACACACATGGAGGTGAATCTTCACATAGCACACTCGGGACAACTAAATACCTAAAAATACTGAAATGTGCTCTGGGCTCTCACTGACATGCAGGAGGGCAGCCCTTTCCTCAGAAGTCAGCAGAATTGAGGGGCAAGCTCTGAATGCAATGCAGCTATGAACCAGAAAACTGCCAAGCCCTACTCTTCAGGACACCCCACACAAGCTCTATAGCTGCCTTCACTGCTGCTCAAGTCTGTGAAACCTAAAAAACACAGAGGAAAGACGAAAAAGACCTGGAGCTCTTTTTTCTTTTTAAAGACCTACTTGTGTATTTTGTACATATGGGTACTTTGACTGGATGTACATCTACGTGCACTCCAGAACAGGGGATCTGACTGTTCAAACCTGCCATGTGGTTGCTGGGAATGAATTTAGGACCTTTGGAAAAGTAGTGAGTGTGTGAGGACGAAAAATCAAAATACCTCAGCAGAACCCCCCAGACCACCAACAATTTGCTGAAAACAACCAAAACAAAAAATAACCAGTTCCTCCTAGGGCAAGGTGACCACAAATGTAGGAACAAAACAAAGACAAACCTTGACAAGTCTAAACATGCCCAAATGAGAAATGGGCCATCTGGTGTTTTTATTCTCCTATCAGAAGGTCTGAGGTTTCATGGCCAAAAATACAAAAAATACGAGTCATCATGACCACCAGGAAAAGCTTGCTATGCCCGCCAAAATGATAACTTATACCTATTGCTGATGTTTAAAATATCCAATCAAATGTAACTGCGCCAAAGTTTCCCGCTCTCCCCCTTCCCCCTGCGCAGTTCCCTGTATAAACTTTAAACTGTCAGAGCTGGGGGTCAAAATCCTTCCCTTGCATGGGATGTGTTTTTTTTCAACCCAAGGGCCCTTGTCAGTAAACTACCTTTTGCTATTTTGCATCAAGCTGGTCTCCATGTTTCCTTGGGTGTGCGCAACTCCAGGTGAGAGTGAGGTTTCCCCCTCTGGGGTCCCTTACAAGTGCTCCTAACTACTGAGCCATCTCTCCAGTCCCAGACCTGCAGTTCTTAAAGTCACTTCACACACTCGAAGCCAAGATGTGATCTCTGACCCTACAGCCTCACAGGCCATTCTGCTATAAAATAGATTCCTCCAGGTTTTCCAAAGAACTTCTACAGAGTCCTGCATGGTCATAGAAGGAACTGCATGACATGATTCCCACCCCTAGAACAGAGCCAACAGGGTGTAGGCCTCCACAAGTGTTGACAGTTATTAGGCCTGAGGTTTGTTTGTATAAAAAAAAAATATACATTTTACTTCATGTTCGTCCTTTGGGAAATATTCTCCCTGCTAAGGTTATGGGGGAGGCGGGGATGTTCTCCCTATAGAGGTTGATGACTCTATTATAATTAGAAGCAGCACCAGTCCAGAAGATGAGGGTGTGTCTAATGTCTCAGCAAAATGGTAAACGCTGAAACCCTTAAGGAAAGAACTCTGAAAACATGAATTCAAAAACATATAATTTCTCAACTATACAAAATATAAGAATGCAAAATTAGTTGTATAAAGAGATTCATGAACCTAAAGGAACAGAGAGAGCTTGTCAGATACTAAGGAGATAAGAGATTTAGGGAGTGGCGAATGCAGGGCAAGATCCTACCCAGCTAAGTTTATTGCTGTGCTTACAAAGGCAGGCAGATTCCTGAGTTCAATGTCAACCTTTAAGGTTAAGCCCAGGAGTGGTGGGAATGGTGATCTCAGAGCAAGATCCCACCCAGCTAGCTTACTACCTGTGCTTACAAAGGCAGGCAGATCTCTGAATTCATTTGCCACGTTTAATACAATGTATTTGCTGTCCTTTTCTAAGAATCAAGAGGGTATGCTCATAAAATGCTGATTCATGAAATAATCGGATGGAAACCTAGGGAGGATGATTGAATTGATATGAAAATAAAAGACTGGGCTTTGGTCTGAGAGAGCTGAGCTATCTAGCTGAGCTGTCTGGTGATCTTCAGAGAGCTGTTGCGAACAGAACATAAGCCTGTCAGCTTGTACCCCACAATTTGACTTTGAGTCATTCTTTTCATGATTCTCAAACACCCCTTCCTCAGGACCCCCAACCAAGCCAAGGCTGGTCCCTGGCAAACTTTTTCTCTGTTACTTCAATGCCTTTAACTCTTGCCTCTATCTGGTCTTTCCTCTCCTTAGGCTATCCCAGCAGGGACACTGCTACTCCTTCCTTGTCCTCCTGGTAGGTGATAGGGGCGGGAGGTGCCTTGCCCTATTTGTTATGGTGATATCCCATCTACTATGCCTCCTGCCACGTGTGCAAGCCAAGAACCAGGTTCTCTTGTTTCTGCTGTGCCCCAGGGGCCTGCCAGAGCCTGGCTACAACAATTCCATGCATATTTCCCACTCTTCCTGACAGAATGGCTCTTATCTTTCCAGAGCTCCAGTCTGCCCATCCCAGAATGAAGGACCCTTTGCACCAGGGCCAGGAAAGAAGACTCAGTCAACAGCACTGGGCTCCACAGAAAAACAGGTCTCCTTGAATACGCTAACTTGGGAGAGTATCATACGAAATAAAATAAAAAGTTTTCCTTTCAAATATATTTTTTTAATGCAACTGCTTTGGGATTTATAAAGATGAACTGGACAACTAACTTCATAGGATTAAATGTGTACACCACCACCTCCTGGCATCCCCAGACTCATCTTAAGCTGAAGATTCTCACTACATCATACACTCAGCTTCTGCTATAACAGGCACAGGCCACAATGCCCAGGGAAGAACAAAAGTCCTGTAGATGGAATTTGCTCTGTCCAGAGAGGTTGCCGTCTGTGCAGGGACAAGAGCTGGAGGATCAGCTATCCTTGTCCAGGACTTAGGAAGTTCTTCATTGCTCTAATTCTCAGCAATGCCACCAAAGTACTTTGCCTGGTCTTTGCCCTACAGGGCTCTAGGGAAGAAATGAACACCACAAAACCACCCTGGAAGCTGTGGTTATGAGCACTCATGATGCCGCTACTACCTTAGACAAGGCTACTGACCTGCAATTGCCTTGGGGTTTATAAAGATTAACTGTACGGCTGACAACACCAGGGTAGGGTTAGCTTGGTGCCTCCATCCCATCAGTGACTTGTCACCATCCCTTGGGGGAACCAGGAAGAGTTCCAGTGGTGGAGGAAAAGCAGAGAGGCCTTTTTCACAAAAGACAAATGCTACTGAGGAAGAAATCTACACAAAACTTTCTTCTAGGAAGTTTGTAGCAGAAACAGGAAAAGCAGTGCACATTTTTAGTCCAACTCAGTGACTCTCAGTTCATGACTTTAGCTGTCACTGACAGAACTAAAATGGCAAAGAGCTGAGGACATTCTCAACTCAGGTGTTTATATACCCTGTGTAGAAACAGAGAGGTGATGACTGCCAGCCACTGCCCCATACAATGAAAACTACAAATCCTCTACACTGCTAAGATGTGCCTACATACGCACAGCTGTGAATAATCAATTAAAGGCCACTACCTTCCAGCTAACCAAAGACACTTACAGCATTTCTGGAATTCGCAGAATGAGACAAAAAAAGGAGCTTGTTTGTGCACTCAGATCAACTACCATGCACTGAGTACAAATGAGACATATGTGATTGTGGCTGTAAAAACCAAAGCACACATAAAGACATGTTCTTCCCTGAAAAAGCCTCTATCCAAGCTCAGCTCAAAACACTGGAGCTGGATATAACAGCACACAGTGGTACGTACTCTGTAGCTCTGTAGATGCATGGGACAGAAGGGTCAGCCTGAGTTCAAAGCCAACCAGCACTGTGGTACTCAGTGAGTTCAAAGGCCAGTCTGCACCACAGTGAGACCCCAGTCTAAAAGGCCAAGGGAGACAAAGTGAAGGGCTGACACACAACATCAGTTGGAGACAACCAATGTGGGCTTTAAAGTGAAGACATTGGCCACAGCAGGAGAGAGGGGTGTTTTTAACATCTGCAAACAGAGAAGGGGAGGCTTGACGGGTTTAGGAAGCCAAAGCAGCTACCCACTGATACCTGGCAAAGGGAGCTGCACTAGGTCAAACAGGTGTGTGGGACATAGACTACAAAGCGACTGCCTGATTCTGCATTCTGGGATCCTAAGCCTTCAGCCAATGATCTCTGCCCATCCTGGATGTTTCTACCGCCTAACCCCCAACTCACAAATTATATAAGCCTAATCACCCCCAAGTAAAGTTGATCTGCCTCCCTCCAGCAGTACCAGGGTGCCTTCTTCACCCTATGTACTCAAAGGGCTTCCAACCCCCACTCCCTATCCCCACCTGTCATCTCTGCTCCCACTGCTCTCATGGGCCATTACCCTTGTGGGCAGATATTGGCTGATGATCCCCAAGGCCAGGGAGAATCGCAAATAGCCACAAACCTTAATGCTTGAAGGACCTTCCTAGTACTGGAAATAGAACATACCACTCCCTGGCTTAATTACTCCCTCCCCTAATATCATGCTGTACTATGACATCCATCCAGTACTTACTCGGCCTACAGAGACCTGTACCTGCTTCAACCTTAGGTTTTCTGTCTCTTCCTCTCTTTGTTCTGATATTTGGGCCTTCCCTCAAGCACATACACCCCCTACTTCCAGCCCAGTGAGTTTACGGCTCCCTAATCAAGAGCCCTCATGCCTCAGCAGGCCTCACCTCTGTGTGACTTCACATACTACTACTGTACTACTCCATTTTTCTCAAAGCAAGCACACTGGTTTCAAACTGGCACTGTATGCTTACTTACCGCCCCTCTCTCAGCCTAGAAATGTACGCTGTTCATGGACAGAGCTATACCCAGCCCACCTCAACTGGCTGATTTAATCAGAGTTCTCAGATTAATCCTGCACAGGTCCTCAGCTGGGAAGAAGTCTGTTCTATTCCCCTAAAGTCTATGCCAAGTCCTGTGTCTCACCCTGATACTGATATCTACAGTCACTGGCCCTATCCATCATGAAACTCCAGACTGCAGCACCTGAGCCACCAGACTTCCCCCACTAGAATTAAGGTGGGGTTGAGAAAAGATGGTCCTTCCGAGGTGCCCTTCCGACGAACTGTGTGGTGCAGCAATGATCAAGTCCTTCCTCTCAGGATGTCCTGGGTCACTCACAAGTGAAGCTCATAAAATAAGAGCTTTCTGCTCATCTGGATCAGAAACCTTAAAACAATGTCAAACTGTGAGTCTGGGACTCTGACAGTTAGGATCATGCATTCCAGACATCCTTAACGTTATTGGTGGAGAATATAGAATCTAGAACCAGGTGGACTACATCCAGGCCCAGGTCTTTCCTCCATTCATGAGCCCACAGCAATGGCCAAGACATAGCACCTGACCAATCCATAGTCTCCAGGAGTCCACCAAAGAACTAGTAGGGAAAACTAACTCAACACATACATGGGACTGTCACAGAGTAAAGGGTCAACCGTGGTTGTCACCAGCATTTATGACAGTTTAAATACAAGCCCAAGTTGAACAAATGAGCTATCAGGTGGCTATCAGGCCCTCTTATGAGTGCTTTGGCGTCTCAGGCTGCAGACTGACAGGTAGCTGAGGTCTTACCTGCTGCCTCTTCTCTCCTCATCACTCTCATATTCTGCCAGAACCAGATGTTCCTCCCCACACTCCAGCTGCTCTAGCTGCTCTGGTCCTGTTCCTGCAGCTAGCATCTCCCTGCTAAGGCGCAGGAGAGTCTCAGTCTCCTCTTCTTCCTGTTTCTGGGTAGGAACAAAGATACAAAGAGAAGTCTCGCACTGGAGCTCCCAGCTGACTCTGTGACAGACCTGGCCCCAGCACTGCTGCCACCAAGGACAGAGTACCCACATTCTCCTCATAGGATGAGGCTCACCGCCTGACTCAAATCCTCTACCATTTGAAAGACCCAACCACTGAGGAGATGGTGGCCAATGGGAGCTGCCACTCTGGTCTGTCACGTCAATACCAGGCAGGGTCCAGCTGCCCACACGCCACAGCTTTCCAGATGCTCACCATGCGCTTGGCTGCAAACCTAAGCCTTCCATCCTGGTAGACCTCCTGCAGACGCTCCTCTCGTTTCCTCCTCCTCATTTGCTCCTCCTAAAGGACAGGGACAACAGAAAGAGACTCCTACAGAAGTGACACCCCAGGCCTTTCTCAGTACATCTACTGAGGGAGCCCCTCACATAGTGCTACACCCACCATTCTCTCTGCCAATCTGGCCCCACTGCTCAGTGCAACAGGGCTACATCCTCTCTTTCTCTAAGGCATACAACAAAAGCTATTCTTCAACTTTGTCTTTTCCCAGGTGAGTGAAAATGGAAAAGGCTTGTATCAGAAAGAGACAGCAATCTCCTCACAAGTTCACCCAAGGGTTGAGAGGCACCACCAATAAATAAATAAATAAGAAAAAAAAGAATTCCTAAATCTTGTACTAAATTGAAAATAATCAGTGAAGCATGTTTCCTGATCACTCCCCTTCTCAGTCCCTCAGATCTCACCCTCAGCCTCTCCACCAGGTCCCTTTCTTCTTTTTTCTGCACAAATTCAGTGACCCAGTCAGGTTCTCCAGAAGGCCTTAGAGTGTCAGAAGGTTCTTGGCAAGATGAGGAAGACATGAGTGAGTTCTTCCCACTACTTGTGGGGCCAGATCCAGGTGCAAGGAGACGTGCTTCTGCTTGCAATTTCTTCTGTTCAAAGTCACGGAGCCAGGAGAGGGCCCCACAAATCAGACTTAAGGACTTTCCCTACAGGAAGAAAAATTACCTCAAACCAGGCCAGAAGCAAAGCTTCCCAGATGGCTTTCCCCATTTATTAAGGACATCAAAGAAACCCTAGTTCTAAACATGAGGATGCTCTAAGACCATCTAGAATGGAAAGGAATTAGTAGTTATCAGAAACAAGAAAAGGAAGATGGAAAAAGCTTGGTCCCAAGCAGTAACATCTCAAGCTACACAGCTCCATGTTCCAAAAGAATTTAAGTGTTTTTTCAACTTACAAATACCACAAGTTAATATATCTAAACAATGGTGGAAAACAAATACATTAACAACAAAGAAATACAAAGCATGAAATCCCAAATCCTTGCCAAGTTCACGTCTAACTCTAAGCTTTACGGCAACAAAAGCCCAAACACACATAATCAGTCACACAAGTTGCTATTGTTGAAAATGCCTACTCTCCAAAACACTATTCCTGCCTCAGGTCACACCTTTCTATGGTACCTTTCACAGGCTGACATGCATCCCTATGCTGTGCTCCTAACCCCAATGTCTCAGTTAGCATGAGGCCCTTAGGTGGGTCCTCATTCTTACAAGGACTGGAAACCTTATAAAAAAGGGTGATTCAGATGCAGACATACAGGAAACAGGGGCACCATAAAGAAACAAAGGAAGAAGATGGCATCTACCAGATAAGGAATGGGCCCAGACATCATTCTCATATAGCCTTCAGGAAAAACCAAACCTATTAGTATGTTGATTCCAGACCTGAACCTCCACAACTGTAAGTGCTGGATTTCTGCTGTGTACACAATCTGCAGTACTCTATATTACAAAGACTAGGAGAGGGACTATAAGAGGAAATTTTGGAGTCCTCCTCAGGCTGTTGCCCCTAGGGTTCAGGTGAACCTTTAGAGCTAACCTTTTGACTTAGTTAGGGCTTTACTGCTGTGAAGAGACACCGTGACCGAGGCAACTCTTACAAGGACAACATTTATTGTCCATTATCATCAAGGTAGACACATGGCAGCATCCAGGCAGGCATGGTGCAGGAGGAGCTGTGAATTCTACGTCTTCATCTGAAGGCTGTTAGTGGAAGACTGACTTCCAGGCAGCTAGGATGAGGGTCTTAAAGCCCACACCCACAATGACACACCTACTCCAACATGGCCATACCTCCAAATAATGTCACTCCCTGGGCCAAGCATATACAAATCATAACACCTTCTATCTACTTAATCCTCTGAGCCTGCTTATTTTAGGAGTGGCTGAGAGTCTCCAAAGCAGGGTTCTGAACCCACCTGCCCTGGGAGGTACCATAAGTAATAGAACTCCTCATCTGCAATCCAGGATTAGACAGTGGCTCATCGTATGAGCTCTGGGACTCTGAACTGACTCTCAAAGCTTATTTCCATATATATGCAAAAATGGGACAGATAAGAGTAATCCTCACTCTCCGGGCGGTGGTGGCGCACGCCTTTAATCCCAGCACTTGGGAGGCAGAGGCAGATGGATTTCTGAGTTCGAGGCCAGCCTGGTCTACAGAGTGAGTTCCAGGACAGCCACGGCTACACAGAGAAACCCTGTCTCGAAAAACCAAAAAAAAAAAAAAAAAAAAAAAAGAGTAATCCTCACTCACAGACCCCATACAACATTCATTACATTAGTTAATATATAGGGAGCAGGACCCAACTACCTGGCCATAAAGTCAAAAACTGGGTACTTGCTACTGCTGAGTAATGATAGAATTTTCATTATCCTGAGACGTGGAACCTATCAGCTTTCATTAATATTTTGAACACACAGATGACACATCTTAAAGAACACCCCATTACACTGTTTCAGCTTCTGGCAAATATTACATAGAAGGCAAAGAAACCAAAGCAGCACTCTTCCAAAAACCTAGAGATGGTGGTCCTGTGCTGTGCTGACTGTGGATATAGGGGGTGTGTATGTGTATATAGGTATATATATATACATACATATATGTATGTAACACTAACATTAGCTGTTATTAGACAAAGCAGGCAAAACATCAGCATGCAACAAGGGCCCAGGGACAGACATCTGTTTACAAAGCCCCTACACAATCTCCACTAAAAAAGCAGATGTTCCTAAGAGTATGCACATTTTATCTTCCAAAATTAACTGTGTGCCTCTAACACAGACACCAAAGAGTAACTGAAGCCCCAGCTTTAGATACTGTAACAGGATCACTACAGACTGAAAAGGCTGCAAGGTGAGTGGGAAAGAGCTCCACTGATGTGCTTGAGGCCCTGTCTGATGTCAAGTAACGTAAAATAGAAATAACAAAAATAACAATGCTAATGGTATTTAGTCAGTTGGAACTTATGAAAAAGCTTCACATCCAAATGTTCACCGAAGTCATGGAGCAATCTTCATAAGGCAGTCACAAAACATTCCCACTCACTGTACAGACCAGACCAGTGCTTCTCAGCCTTCCTAACACTGTGACCTTTAATACAGTTCCTCATGTTGCAGTAACCCCCAACCATAAGATTATTTTCATTGCTACGTAATGATTGTAATTTTGCTACTCTTATGAATCATAATGCACATTTCTGATATGCAACCCTTGTGAAAGGTCATTCTACTACCAAAGGGGCCAAGCCCCACAGGCTGAGAACTGCTGGTATAAAGGGGTGAAAAGGACACTAGAGTATCTCAGGGAACAACACACTTTCTGTCCCAGAACCATCAGTTCTGGAGATATAAATCTGCACATGAGGATAAGGGTCATGCACTGCCTTTTGCTTGTTCAGAAAATACTTATGAAAAGCCTCCTGTGGGCCAAACTTGCTAAGCTACACTAGATGCCAAGAATACGATTCACGGACATCACAGTGTCACTGTTATCTAGGAAGTTAAAGCCTAGAGTTTGAGAATCTTCACATCAACACACATAGTTCACACAGTATTCACTATGCACGGTAATACACCAAAGTTCTGGAAAGAAGCTGGGAACATGTAGCCACAGCCCTACTCAGTTCCAACAGCCCACCTTAAATGTATCTCTCACTCAATCTGGGTCAGGAAAGAAAACAGGGTCTCACAGTTAGCTCCCAACAGCACTCAGTATCCTAGATCCTGTACCCTAAAACAATATGCTGAACCTGGAGAAAAGCCAAAGCTTTTTTGATGTTCCTCAAAGCAGCAGTGTGCCAGAGAAATCTCAAAATTATTGATTTTGTCGTTCACACTGCAATTTTAAAGTCTCAGCTGCCTTTAGCCTATTTTCAGACCATGGTGCTGTGTTTAGCAGTTGAATAGAGGAAGAGACCACTATGCAGAAAGAGGAACTGATGACTACTGTGCCCAGCTTCTTCTCGAGGAAGGCAATGTCTACACAGGTGAACTGTCATGGTGAGAAAGGCTGCCTCCAAGTTGTCTGAGTGACACTCCCTCATCCCTCACACTCACCGTGCCAGTCGGACTCTCAAATATCCCAATCTTGCCAGCCTCCAAAACCTTGTAGAGCTCCGCCATGAAGTCCTTCTGGATAGAATAAGGCGGGAAGGGAAAAGGAAAATGGATGCCACTCATCTCCTGACTTTCGGCAGCCATTGCCCTAGAAGAATAAAGAAAGAGTGAAAGAAAGAATGAAAGAAAGAAATCTACTACTTTTCTCATGAGCCATGAAGTAGCTTGAATTCTACTTAATCCAGAGCAGTTTTCTCACTAGTCACACAATTTCCCTTTGGGTTGTACATTTTCTGGCAAGCAGAAATCATGTTCTATCTACTCGCACATATACCAAAACCATACAATCTATAAAGTGATGTTGGTCAGATGCTGTTATCATAGAATCCAGCCCAGAAAGGCCTTAAGATGAACCTCCTGTGCTACTGCTGGATACTCTTCCAATAATACCTCCACAAAAGCAGAGGCCTGGCTTTCCTTGCCAAGGTGAGTGCCGTTTGGATCACAGCTGCCCCTTGGGAGTCCTTCTCCAGCAATCTTCTCTAAAGCCTCTGTAATGGGATATTCCCATGCCCAAGCTGCCTCACCTGCTCCTGCGATGAAGGCCTATAAACCTATGGGAAATGGCACAGAATGACCAACAAGACTTGTTCAGAAGGCGCTAATTCACATCCATGGCCTCCTGCATCAGATAGCTCACATCTGCTTTTCTTCATCCTAACTTCTATTTCCACACAAGCAGCACCATCTACTGGTTATTTATTGTTTCTGGCCTTGAAATACAAGAGCTTTCTTTCTGGGACTCAATGGTAGAAAGTTTACTAGGAAATGGGGAGCCTCCCCCTGGCACCTAACTCCCCTAAAAAAACAGCTGTTTGGTTCCAGACTGAATGGTTTTCACAGACACTAAGCTCTAACTGGACTGGCTTCCAAATACTAAGGCTATGCACAGCATTCCCCTTCCCCTGCCAGGCCAAGGGCTCTCTGCTCCATGCATTTTCATTCCTGTTTCCTCTTCTGAAACTCTTTTCCTCTACCACCTCTTTGACATCTGGAGGAAACACTCACCCACACCTCTTTTCTTGAGATGTAACTGGACAGGCCCATCTGTTCTAAGTCCAAATAATTATAACCCTAATACGCACTTTATTATCAATAAACCAAAAAATTTTTTAACTACACTATCCTAAAAGACAATAATAGTGTCAATCCATTTATGAGAAAAGGTAGTTGCCAATGTGTTCCTCCAGTTATTAGGGGAAGAAAAACGACTACCCAGGTGGAGAAATTACTGAACAAAACAACAAAAACAAAAAGCCACACAACAAACTAAGAAAATGCAGTAATAAAAAGAGCTATGCTGGCCAGGCAGTGGTGGCACACACCTTTAATCCCAGCACTTGCGAAGCAGAGGCAGATGGATTTCTGAGTTTGAGGCCAGCCTGGTCTACAGAGTGAGTTCCAGGACAGCCACAACTACACAGAGAAACCCTGTCTCAAAAAAACAAACAAACAAAAAGAAAAGTAACTTTAAAAAAAAAGAGCTATGCAACTGGAAAACCACTAAAACACGAAGAGAAGAGAAAGTAGCCAACAGGAGCTGGAGCAGCTGAAGCTGAGCAGTTAACAGCACTTGCTGCTCTTCCAGAGGATCCAGGTTCAATTCCTAGCACCCACACGGCAGCTGCTCACAACTGTCTCTAACTTCATTTCTAGAGGATACAGACATACAGGCAGGCAAAATACCCGTACACATAAAACAGTAAAATAAAAGTAATTTTTTAAAGATTCTGAGCATCTGACGTGTGTAAAGCACTCTTCAGAGTTCCCACCACCACCCCCTTAATTTCACTTAACCTATAACCGACATCATGACAGAACATGCTTCTAGATGCTGTTGTTACAGATATTAACAATAACTGCTAGCTGGAGACACTGCTCACTGGTGGAATCCTTGCCTAGCAGCAGCTCAGAGTAATCTACAACCAAAATGGACTAGGTGTTAAGGAGTAACATTAGTTACTTAAGGAAGAAAAAGCACGCATTTAACCCAGGTGCATAGAGGTCTGCTTGTTCAAGCTCACCTAGATAAAATAGAGAACTAGTAAGACTAAACAGTTGTTCCTAGAGTGACGCACACGGAGGTGAAGAATGTCGAACCCGGACTGCGGGCAGACAGGGAAACCCTGTACATGAGAACTGCAAGCTAGCCTGGATTTCAGGACAGGTTCCTGGATAAAGGAATCATGTATTTATTGTTCAATCCTACTTTTATGCCACTTCCATCACAAATGTGGTAGGCTTCTCAAACTTTCTTAACCATAAAATAAGGGCAGTGCAACCGAGAACGTAACAGTGTAGGCCCTGAGGCAGACTGTCAAATTGGATCTCAAGTTAATTATCAGTCAACCTGTGTCTTCACCTGACGTTCATTATATACAAAAATCCCTGAAAATCGCTTAAAACAGCCTCCCTAATTTTTAGAATCCAACCTGTTAGACACATTCAACGAAGGCGCCACCATAACAGGGCTGCCCCTCGCTCCAGCCAATCACACGCCGCCTCCACCACCACCACCACCCCAGGCCATGGGGCGCGCTCGGCTAACACCGCCCCCGACAGCCTCCACCGTTTGCGCCTCCACTCGAGTCTACCCTTGTCACCTCTCTGCCTTCAGTTTCAGCCCTTCCCTCACGCAGCACCAAACTCTCTCTCAACCGCGAAACGACCTCGCTGAGGCGGACAAGCAAGCCTGGCCCGGGTTGAATTTGAACCGCAGCTTCACTGAAGGAGCATGCGCACGCAGGAAAACCCGCCACGTGGCCACGCCCTGCGCCAATGCGCCTGCGCGCTTCAGCTCACCCGCGGGGCTTGAGCTTCAGTATTGTCTAGATTATGGCTATGTGTTTGAGCTTTGATCTAACCTTCCATATTAGGTTTTTGGTATTACCAGTTATCGGGGTTTTTGTTGTTGTTTGTTGTTGTTTTCACAGAAATATCGCTCTTTTAAAAATTTTTATTTACTTAATGTATGGGTGCTCTGCTGCATTTTACATCCGCCTGCCTGAAGAGGGCATCAAATTTCCCTAAAGATGGTTGTGAGCCACCATGTGGTTGCAGAGAATTGAACTCAAGACCTCTGGAAGAGCAGCCAGTGCTCTTAACCAATGAGCCATCTCACAAGCCCCCAAGTTATCATTTTTTAAATAGGCTTTTCTCAAAGAATATTAAATGTAAAAAGAGAAACTATCAAATATCAGATGTACACAAACCCTTAAGAGCTAAGAGGGGTTTTGATGTAGTCATACATCATGCATATATTTGTTTCCTCCTTACTGTAGATATTGAATCTGTTTCACAATAATGACAAGGTGTACTATGGTGAATTCTTTAGAAACTGTTCCTGTTGTGTAACACAGAATAAAAACATTTGACAGGCTCTGGGGAACAGGCAGACCATTGAGATTTAGTTTCCTGTCACTAGTTAAAAAAGCACACATGGCACACTAAACACCTCTGTTTTGGGCTAGAGAGATAGCTCATCGGTTAAGAGCACCGACTGCTCTTCTGGAGGTCCCGAGTTCAAATCCCACCAACCACATGGTAGCTCACAACCATCTGTAATGAGATCTGATGCCCTCTTATGGGGTGTCTGAAGACAGCTACAGTGTACTTACATATAATAAATAACTAAAACCTTTCGGCAGGGGCAAGTAGGGGGAAAAAAGAAAAAAAAATCTGTTTATTGCACTAGAGACATTGAATATGACCCATTTTCAGAGGCTGTGGCTGAAAATCCTAACCACAACCTCAAGTTTAGTGCCCTTCTCCCTCTTTTGCCAAGAGATGTCAGAACGATTAGTTCTCTGCCCCTTAGTGTCCATTTTATAGGGAGCTGGACAGTTGCAGGATTTGGTCCTTGGTGAAAACTAAGAGCCTCTGATTACTCTGTTGGTTCTGTTATCATCTATATGTATGCTTGAAAGGCTCAAGACAGAACTTGCAGTAGAAGAAAAAGAAAGAAGGGCTGTGTGTGATTCTTTCACTTCTAGCTCCTTAACCCCACTTCCAGGCTCTGTGGACTGGGTTACTGTTTTCCTAAAGTTTGATTGTATCAAGTTCCAACCCCAGAATATGCAGGACTTTTTTCTTTCTTCCCAGGACAGGTTTCTGGTGTAGCCCTGGCTGTCCTGGAACTCCCGTAGTAGACCAGACTGGCTTCAAACTCAAGAGATCCACCTGCCTCTGCCTCCTGAGTGCTGGGGTTAAAGGTGTGTACTGCCTGGTGAAAACCTAGGATCTTAAGCAATCCCAAGTCTCAGTGTTCTTAGGGCCTCTTTTGGAAAGCATTGTCTTATCCCTGTAGATACTCTAAAAAAAAAAAAAAAAAAAGCCCTCCCTGGGGGTCTAATGGGTCTAATGGGTAGGTTAACTGCTCTCAAGATGCAGCCATGTTTTTAGTCCAGTCAGGAAGCCTCCTCTTCCTCTTTGTGTTTTCTTCCTCATTTCTCAATCTTGTCACCTCTCTAGACTTTCATAGTAAACCAGGTGGGTCAGGTGCTGATGACCCATAGGCCTGGCAGCTTGGAATAGTAATGGGCTTGCCTAGTTTGGATTAGCAGTTACCCTCCAATGCTACAGCATGGCCGGAAGCCTTCTGAAGGAGCCCTGCTCTTCTTCTCTGTGGTCTGCGGGAAGATAACCAAAGGGATTAATTTCTGATAGCTTGACCTGGTAGACAGTGCTCTCTTCTCTGCTGGGGCTCAAGCCCCCATGGAACAAAGAAGTAGGCAGCCAAGACATGCTCAGGATTCAGTTCTTTGGCCTGGACTAGGTCTCAGCTGAAAAACACCCTTTTTGGGTGGCAGGCACAGGAAGTGTAGAGAAGAAGCCAGAGGGGCTATAAGAGTGGTGGGTAACAGCTAATGGCACCATGAAGGCCTGACCACCTTATACCACTGAATCCTGTGTCCCACAAGCATGTGGTGACACTGGATACAAGAGAAAGATAGTTTACTACATCAGACCCTTTCAAATACCTCTAGCATTTCAGAGAACAGGGGAGGGTTGAGGAGGAAAACCAACCTTACAAGAATGGGACAGTCTGTTGAACTAAATGTACCTGCAGGGACTTTAATTTCCCTTGGGATCTCATACTAGGAGGAAGACTAAGGCTCCCTGCTAGGCAGAGGGGAGCCTGTCTCCAGATAGCTCTGACGTGTTGTGATAGGCAGGCCCACATTTTGACCTCTTAACGTTTACTTAAACCTGAACCTCATCTTTGGAATCCAAAGATGGACTTGGCAACCATCGAGGGTATAACTAGATCTCCCTATTCTCTTCCCAGTGTTGGATACATCTCCCTTTTCTACTTTTGACTATGGTTTGTTTAACTGAGCAGTTCAGGGCTAAGCCCAGCCTGTTAACAACTCTGGTAACAAGCTGTGTCACCCCTAGGCTGGGGTGGCAAGGCCCTATACTGACTACATTGTCCCCAGCCTCACAAGAGAATTTGGGGGGCATCTCCATCTACTTGATCTTCTCTATGACTTTATTGCTGGCCCAGGCCCATGAAACCTGGCCTTGCTGCAAAGCCGAGATACCAGCCATCTTCTAAGAACTCCAGGTTACCTCCCCCACTCCAAACCCCTACCCCTGCCCCAGGGAAGGCACTAGTGAAGAATCTGAGTATCAAGGTTGTCAGCTAGAGGTAAGCCTGCTACTGGGAGCTGATAGCCAGCTCAAGAAATAGGGATGTTACCTGCCATATTTCCCATGTGAGAGCAGAGGAAGGGAAGTTACCTGATGGCTACCCACTGTGCTGAGGTACATGTAACTCAGAGCCTCACTCTGAGTCACAACCCTGGTAGGGCTATCAGGTACTAGAGAGGCTGAAGGCATGTGTCTACTCTCCTGTCCTGGAATACCTGCCAATCTAGTTTCCATACCCAGTGGAGGGAAAGCATCATTGGTCTTGCCTTCTCTGTGTACAAGGTTCCGTCTGCCTTTCCCTCCCAACAAACCCTTGGTAATTGTTCCTAGATGTGCAGTTTCATCCAGAAAGCAGGTCTTCTGGCAGCCTGTGGCACCCCTGAGTGATCCCCAGAAGGCCCATATACCGAAGAGATGCCAGGAGCAAATCTATATCATCTTGAGGAAACAGCAAGAACTAGGCCTGCCTGCCTACCCAGGGCAGCTCAGCCTGAGATCTGCCTGTCCCACTCAACACAGCCAGTATCAACATCCTGCTGATTTCAATTCCAGAGACCAGCCTTAGCTGAGGGGAGGACCTGGAGTATCACAGGAGGCATCTGTGGAGTCAGGAGCCTCTGCCTTCTAGAGGCAAGGCTACCCTGCCTCTGCCCTTTCTATGTGACATGAGTTGTCCTTGAACTCTATTCTCTCATCTAACTCACAGAAATACACATTTTCAGGACTGTGTCCACAGGCACCTCATACCAGTTTCAGTTCCTAACTGCAGCCCTATCCCCCCTGAGTCCTCAGTCCCTCACAGGACTCCCTCCCTGGTTTGCTTCTAAGCCTTCCCTGTGGCCTGCAGTACCTCCTGTCCTCAGCCACCTCAGCAAACAGCAAGGCATGTTTCCAATGGAAAGATAGCCCTCCCTCCCCCTGCAATAGCTGACCTCATCCCCATCTGCCTTGATCCCAGAGAAAGAGCTCAGTACCCCCCAAGACATCAATGGACCATGCCTGAGCACACTTGGGAAAGAGGACAGTTCACATTCTCAGAAGCCGCAGCCCGCATGGCTACTCTTCATTTATTAAAAGGCCACTGTTGGCTTGGGTTCAAGTCTACAGTTACTTTCTTTATTCCACCATGTTGCTGTTTTCTCTCAAGATCCTTTGAAGGAAGAAGCTCTTTAGGGAAAGATCAGGTAAAGCAGTCCCATGAAACAGGGAAGCCAGCAGATGGCTCACATGGCCCCGTCTCCATGAAGAGAAATTAGGCACAGGCCTGGGACACCTGCCCAACTCCCTGCACCTCCTTGGGCAACAGGCCCTGAAAGGCCCCAGCTGGCCAAGGAGCCTCTGCCAGCTGTTCCTGCCGAGTGTAGGAGAAGGGCCAAAACACTCTTAGGACTCCCAGTCATCCTCATCCTCATCTCCTGCTGGCTGCTGTGGGGGTGGCAGAGGTGGGATGGAGTCTGACATTCGAGAGAAGGCTCCGCCAGGCCCCTCACTGGTTCCAGTGGCAGGTCCTTTTCCAGAGATACCTGGGAGGGAGAGGCAATGAGAGAGACAGTGGGGCACTACTTCACCAGCCCCTGAAGATAGACAATGGGTAAGGTGCCTACCTTTGCGCCTCATGACGAGTTTGTTGAAGAGGTCTGACATCAAGTCTCCACCTTGGCTAGTGGCTCTCACTGTATCGGGTAAGTGGCAGGTGAGAGAAGTATGAGATCAGGGAATATACTACAGGCTCGCTCGCCCCCAGGAGCACACCCACACCTGCTCTCCAACCATGTGCTGGTTATAAGCTCTTAGAGCTTTGATATGGCCGTGGGCCCAGTCTTGGCTTGATGTTTCAGTTCTCAGCCTCACTGTATGGAGGACACAAGCTCAGAGAAGCCAGGCTATTGGTATTCAGTCACAAAATGAGTCAGAAGATCCAGGATGCAAACCCAGGACTTCTGAGTGCTGGGATACTAACACTTTACACACAGGTTAACTAGGATCCTACCAGTAAGGATTATTGGCAAACATAAAGTCTTATCCTCAGGGTGGGGATAACCTCCAGGTCCTCTATCTCGGAGGACCTCAGGTTCTTGCATGCTTCTTTGAACAATGCTTGTCAAAGGTTTTACTTTCTCATGGTTTTACCTGGGAGAACTCAAGACAGGAAAGCTTCCTCAGGGAACCAAACAGCACCAGCCAGAGGAACAAGGATACCTATCAGGGTAGCCACAAGGGACTTTTTGCAGGTTGACATGGTGCCTGGCTACTGCAACATCCTCAGTCCCTCACCTTGCTCCTGCTCCTTCTGTTTTTTCTTCTCCAGTTTGCGTTCCTTGACACTGCGCAGCTTGGCCTTGCCAATGCCCCCAGCTTGGCGGATGGACTCAAGCAGAGTGGCCCGGCCACTGGAGGGGTCAACTACCTCCTTAGGAGCTCCTTGAACAGAGGCTATAAGGAGAAGGGTGAAGGGCTGCTCAGCATTACAGGAAGGGGAAAGGCTGGCAAACAAAGGGGAAGCCCAGCTGCTGAAGCCACAGCTTCTACAACTACTCAAAACAGTCTTGGATTTCTGCAGACAATGAGCTAAGGGGCCTTATGCCTAGGCATCTCTCCTCCCTCTCCAATCCTGTTGTGATGACATCCTGCAGCGACAGACCCTGTGAGTCTGATACTCTGAGTGTTCTAACTTAGCACCATAAGCCAAAAAGGATTTTCTATTTCTTAAACTGGCTGGAGACAGGCTGAGAGATATGATGTAAAAGTTGAAATTTAGTAATTTCAAGTTTGTTATAGACCCTTTTCCCACTGGCTTAACTAGAAATAGGGCACAATGCCTTTCCAAAGCTTCCTCTGCCCTGAAAGTCATACTCCCCACAACTCTGCATAGCACAGAAACCACTGTATCAACACCCAGACTGAGAACTCTCTGTAGATCCCAGACCTAGGAATATGTGACCTACAAAGAACTCTTCAGGGACCACGCCAAGACAAAGCTGGAGGTTCTGTTAATAAGAGCCACCCAGGGCACCCCCATCTCCACTGCCCTACCTGTGTGGGCCATGCCGCTGCTAGTGTCTTCTTCCCTGACAACCTGGCCAGCTGCAGTTGCCACTTCAGGGAACATCGGTGGTTGGGGGGTACTGACCAACGCTGTGGGAGCTGGGGGAGGTGGCGGAAGAGGAGGAGGAGGAGGAGGAGGCGGTGGTGCTGCCAACAACACTCCATTCTCTAGGTCTATGAGGAAAGTGAGAACACAGGGAGGGGGGTTGAGAAAGGACTCAGCAGGGACCTTCTGGCTCAGTTCCATGCTCTGGAACCTGACTCACCTGGCTGGAAAGGTTCAGCCACCTCTGTGTGGAAGGCTGGAAGCTCTGGAATAGCACCAGGAGCAGACGGGGCAATACCAGGACCCAAATCCGCACTGTACATCAGGTCATCTGCAACGCCAGGCAAATCGGGTAGGTAGGATGGCACATCGATCTCGGGAACCTGGCCCAGGTCTGGCACATAGAAGTAGTTTTCTGGAGCCTGCAGGGAAGGCAGTACAAGAAATAGGATGGCTCTGCTGGAGCACAGGGCCAACACTGAGACCAGGGGGCAGGGGGCACATGTGGACCCACACAGCTGGGTAGACAAGAGGCTTAGTGGAGCCCTCCGTGGAACAGGACCGACAGGGCCTGCCTGCACAGGCAACCCACACCTACCTGCCACTCCAGCTGTTCTATCTGGCACCCCCACACCCACCTGCCGCTCCAGCTCTTCTCTCTTGCTGATTGACAGAGGGGCATCGAACAACTTCTCCTCCTCTGTGCCCAGCATCGTGTGCGTTTTTGTCACTGCACCAGCCAGAGGGTCCAGGAAAACATACTTCTTATACCTATGGAGTGGGCTAGGGTCAGGAGGCTATCCCCTGTCCTGGGGCCAGAGAGGCCCCTGACCACCCCTCCCACTGTATTGGGGAAGCATTTAATCTTTTGGATATCCACTCTTAGAAGCCCAATCAAGTCTTGAGGACTGCACCAGGCTCAGGTCCCCAAAGCTACCTAAGCAGGGCTTCCCTCCCTCCCTCCCCTCTTCCTGCTAGCTATCTCCTGGCCATACAGATTCTCTGTGGTGTTGAAGAGCAGCAGGGAGCTGATGGAGCTGATGTTGCTAGGAAGACCCCCAAGTCCCTCCTCAGCTTCATCCTCAGGCTCCAACTTGGTGTTCACACACACAGGAAAGTATTTCAGCTTCTCCTGGGGCAGGATTAGAATGGATGGAGTTTCAGTACTATGCTTATTGACCCAGTGCCATCCTGACCATAATCCTTATGGAGACAGAGATCTGTGATCAGCCTTCACTCCCAGCACCCATGGCCCCCAGATGGGTGACATACAGGTACCATTCAGACCTGAAGAGCCCTCTCATCCAGTGGGCGGTGCTTGCTCTGGATCCTATACCGGGGTCGTCTCTGCAGACCAGGGTCCAGGGCACCAGTAAAGATGGAGCCATACTCCTGCAGGTGCTCTGGTGCTGGGTACTTGGCGCTAGAAAAGACCTGTAGACACAGGGACAACTCTGGGGCCCAAAATTTTCAAGACACCCTAGAGATCATATAAACAGGCACTAAAAATGGGGTGGCCATGGACAGGAGGGAAGTGAGGTGTGGCTGAACAGCAAGGGTATAGGAAGATCAATGCGCCAGCCACAGAGCACAGAAGTCATGGCCTACCTTGATGGCCTTCTTACTGCCCTTGATCTTCTCTATCTTAGCCTGGGCCAAGGAGACCCTCTCCCTAATGACCTGCAGCTGGCGCCGACTCAGCTCTACTCGCTGGGAGATCCTACCAAAGGAGAAATGTAGAGATGGAGGACAGCTTCAGGTTCTGTAGCCTCTGTGCACCTGTGCCAACAACAAGCCTGAGCCTTGCTAAGTCCTGCCATAAGTCTCAACGCACTATAACCTGCCTATCAGGCTAGACTTAGTGCTGCTGTTCCCCTGACCTCTGTCTGCCCGTATTATTCAGCCCAAGTGGTCTAGGAAGTCACGACCATGAGCTCAGGACAGCGAGGGGACAGCCAGCCTGACTCTAGTTTGGTGCTCACATATGCCATCTGAAAAAAAATATGATTCCTGGATTCAGGAGTTTATAACCTCAGGCCAGCAGACAGTTGTACTAGCTACTGGCAGTTAGCAATATTTACACCTACACCTATCCTGTTGGTCACACGGTGTTGACAGACTTCTGGTCTTTGCAGAGAAGACAAGCGTGCAACAAGGTCAAGTGCCCAGTCAGACCTGTGACCTCTCCTAAATTTAGTCCCAGACAGATAAGGAACTGCCCTATACATTGTGGATAGCTCACAGAATATGAAAGCCTAATGCTGACTCAAAAGACTTGCACAGCCCAGCTGGGCAGTGGTGGCGCACGCCTTTAATCCCAGCACTTGGGAGGCAGAGGCAGGCAGATTTCTGAGTCAGCCTGGTCTACAGAGTGAGTTCCAGGACAGCCAGGGCTATACAGAGAAACCCTGTCTTGAAAAACAAACAAAACAATAAAAGACTTGCACAGCCCCACAACTAACCTGTCCCATGCTCTTCTAAGTATGGGGTGGCCATAACAGTACCCTGACATACCCTGATATGCCAAACCCAGTGTTGCCTCTGGGTTTCTGAATCAGATGGAATATTGTCTGACACTCACAGGACCAACCCCTTCCCCCTTTGTTAAGGCCTTTCCACACCAGAACTTCCCTGACCGGATTAAAACCCTGTCCACTGTACTTCCCAGGCCTAGCCTGGTTGCTTCTCCCCCACAAACCCCTGGTGTATCTTGCATACCCTAAAGTCCAGGCCTTCCTTATTCCTGACCATGCTCTAGTCTTGCACAGAGCCTGGCACAGAGACATCCCCAGCGGCTCACACTGTACCTATGTGGTTCCAACTTGATGTGTATAAGCTTGCTTTACGGACACTTCCCCACACCTCTGAGCCATAGCAGGTTTAGATCACTGGGATCCTGATTCTGACCCTGTGTGATAGTGTCATACTCTCAATGCTCTTCCATCTCCCCATCCACCACAAATACCTGCCTGTGACCCACACCCAAACCCTTATCCAGAGCAGGTCTCTGAGCATTAGCCCCATGAAGTCATGATGCACTGCACCTCACACTGTGAGCCAAAATATACTCATAGGTGACTTCTGACAGGATATTTTATTGTAGTAACATGAAAAGTAAGCTCCACGAAGGACAAAAGATCAGAGGTTCTCCAATGATACTTCTGGCTCAGAGTATGACATTTCTACCAAGACTCTTCAGGGGGATGAAGAGATGGCCAGGAGAGTTTCTAGGTACCCTATACCACATCTCTAAACAAGACTCACATTGCCCATGAAGCCAGATAGACCCAACTTCTGCAAGGCTTCACTGACCATGCATCCACCATGGGACTGATGGACCATTTCCCCTTCCTCTCACATCGCCCCACAAAGATAACTGGTAACTCCCCACACTCTAGCGACCCCATAGAGTGTGCTGGCACTGGTGAATGTCCTCTACTCTCTGACAGTTCTGAGTAACCTGCTAATTACTCAGACAAGAGTAATTAAGGCTGACTCCTCTTGGCACCCTGTCTTCGTCAGGTACCACTTAGGGAGAAGAGAAGCACACAGGAAGTGGAGATGAGGAGGAAGGGTAAGAAAGTAAACAAGAGAGAAGGAAAGAAGCAAGAGAAAAGAAAGGAAGAGATAGGAAGAAAGATGGACGAGAGCAGGAGGAGGAACTGGCTGGGCCTGTGCTGGTCAAAGTATCCACATAGTCACAGACCCTGTCTAGCTCCCCATGGACATCAGTTCTGACTCCTACTGAGAATTCCGCAGTTCTTGGAGGCAGGTCTCATGACAGGGCAAAGAGAAGAGCCCCCTGTGGAAGCATCTAGAGAATCCCCCAGGTTCTAGTCTTTTGTCAAGTTCCTGCCAAGGACAGGAGGGAAGAAGTCTGTTTCTTAGTGCTGACCAGCTAGCTACCAGTTCATCATCCTGCGCGCTGCTCAGAATCAGCTGATTTGAGGGCCTGGCAGAGTGGTCAGTGTCTTTTCCAGTCACTTGTCTGTTCTCGGAAGTGGTAGCCAAGCAGGTAGGCCATGCAGAAGGGGGAAGGTAGGTGCTAAGCTCATCCTCACTCCACAAGACCAAGAATAAAGAGTCCCCTAGGCTTTGCACCTCTGCAGCAGGACAAGTGGACAAACTCACCCCTCTGTCCTCACTGACTCATCCCAAGACCCTGGTCTCATAACCTACTGCTGCTTCCTTTGAGGTGTTTCTTCTCCAGTCCTCTCTGCCTCCTCAGCTGGAACTACACCCTCCACCCTGTCTTGTCCTGAATCGTTAACTCTGCAGGCTGACCCTAGGATCCAACCATTCCCCTTTTTGTCCTTCCTGAATTCTTCTGCCCCACTATTTCTGTTTAGAACCTTGCACGGTCCCATGAACCTCTGGGATAAATCGTGAAGTCCTATGCAAATCACAGGTCCTAACTTTTCATTCAAAGTCCTGCTTACAGCCAAGTCTCCTGTCTGAAGTCTTCCCACAGTATGATTGAGGACACAGAGGAACAGCAGGCAAAGTCCCCACAGCTCATAGCCAGCGCACACTTAGAAGTTGAAAGCAGGGTGATCCAAAGCTTAAGGTCATTCTCCAAAACACAGCAAGTTCAAGGTCTGACTGGGTAGGTCAGTGATACCCTGTCCCTGCTCCCATTACCAAAAAGAAGGAATGATAACAGTAGCTCCTCACAGAATGCCTCAAGGGTTAAAAGAATTAACACTGCTAGATCAGTGATGGGTAATGTTCTATAAAGATGTTTAGTACAAGTGTAGTTAACTACTCACAAAACTAGTTATATTCACGATGGCACATCATCACGTTTTAGCCTACAAAGGACCACAGACACAAAGGTATGCCCATAACATCGCACTAGAGCAGAAAACCTCTCCTCCCCTAAAGATGAAGTAGCTATGGTAATGTTGCCACAATGCAACATATTAGTCCTAGTTCTGAGGATATGTTGATGAAAATAACTCTGTTTGGCCAGTAGCATAAAGCACAGCACATACAACTATGCACAATATGATACACTTAGTAATAATAATAAAGATTTGTAGCCTTGTCTTTACTGTAGTGTAACTGTTATCATTGTCTTACAACATATTCCTTCTGCTTATAGAAGTCTGCTGTTACTAGGTCATGCAGAAGCAGTCTCATCCATCTCACTTTTACTGTGTGTCTTGAAAACATCAGGAGACACCTGCTGTGGAAGACAAGACCATCTGCATCTGTGGAACACACTATCTTGTCCACACAAAGCCATCTAGTGACCCACTCCTCAGCACACAGCTGGAATTAAGGAAGGCAAAGCAGTTCTGTGGATCCATCCAGTGTTATACTCTAGCTGAACGGCAACACCGACACTCTCAGATCTACAGCTAGACCTAAGCACAGGGTCCTGTGCACCCAGCACTGAGTCGGTGAAGGATGAGGTCTGGTCGAAGAGCCTGAAAGTGCTACTGCCACCCATGAACCCACAGCAATCATAAGGGGCTACATTACATAGTCAGGAAGTGGTGACCTCTCAGCCACTTATAAGAATGTTTCCAAGTTGGCCCTTTCCCTCACACCCTCTCCACACTGGGAATTAGTCAGGTCATTAAAGAGGTTGTTTGTAGACTGTACATAGGGTGGCAGAGAATCCCATTTAGAAAAGGGGTGGCCCTCTACCAGGTCAGTTGCGTAGCAGGTCCCACCTGCTGAAGATGTCTCCAGAGATATTCTGTAAGTACTGCAGGGCATCTGCCACTTGCTGGATTGCCTCCTCTCGTCGAAGATCTGGTTGGATAAGTGGCACTGCATAAAGCTGGCCTGCCAAGGAGTGCTGGGTCTTCACTGGTGTCATGGTGCCTGTGGGAAGGAACCAAGACATCAAGAACACAGCCCCACATTCAACCCCTCTATCTACCAGCCATACACACAAGGTGGCAACTGCTCATGTTCACAATAAACTCTGGAACAAGGCATTGCTATTGCATAGAGGTTGATGGCTTTCACTGGAAAAGTCTGGAGTGTCACTGTGCAGAAAACTCCAAACATTAACCATCTCCACTGGGGCAACTGTCACTTCCAAGGTGAAGTTCAAGGTAGGCCTGTTGACTACTGACATTCTTTGATAGGGTGAGGGGTGTTTGAGTGTTCTGTCCCTCCCCTCTGCACCTCCAGCCCATTATATACAACCATTCTGTCCTAACTGCATATCATCTAGGCTTCAGTGTCCAGACTGGAAAGTGAAGGGGACTCATGACCCATGCAGGGTGACTTTCTGGTGATTCTGCTGCTCTGGGACACCCACGTTCTGCAAGTAAACCCAGTAAACTCAGGGATTCCCCAAGATGGGCTTCAATGGAATTGGTTTGTCATTGGGGCCCTATGAGGAGGGAGTTAGATGCCTGTTTGAGGTCCTGCCCACAGGGGGAAGTTTCCAAACCATCTAAAATGGATTGAAGGCCACCCTAATTGTGAGGGAAAATAACAAATAGCTGAAAAAATAAAAGCAATTTGCCAGAAGTCGTCTTTATGTGAGTTTTGTTCTGGGGCACAGTAATTCCTCTCTCCAGCAAGTCACTATGGTTCTATCTTGGCGTCCAATCGTTCCTGTTTACTTATTTTTCACTTGTCATGCATGCCATGAATACATAAACATCCCTGAATCATGGTGTCTCTCTTACACATTTACACACACACACACACACACACCTGTCAAGTATATATGTTGACAGAGACCGTGCTTATATTTAGAGTAAATGACTTTTTTGTAGTGACCAGCGCTTAACCCAGATCACCAACACCCCCTCATGTGCGTGTCTCCCGTGCAATTCGTAATTTCGAAAGTGCCCAGTACAATCCACATGCACCGTGCAATCGTCCTCCCACACCCTGCTCCCCGAAATCTTCAGGAAGCCACGGGGCCTCTTCCCTGCAGCCGGAGCTGCGGGGTGTGAGAGGAGCGGCGGCCCATCCCTGCACCGCCTTCCCAGTCAGTCTCTCCCGGTCGCTCTCACTCGCCTCCAGCGGAAGAACAGCAGGGTCACGGCTTCCTCCGGCTCCCGCGCTCGCAGTCCGACCCTCGTCCACCCGTCACGCTCGCCCTAGGGCGGCGTCCTCACGTGCGCATCCGGGCCCCCCCCCATGACCCGCAGCCCCGGGTCCTAGCGTCCACCAGTTTTCAGCTGGGCTCTCCGACTTCCGGCTCTCTAGGCTGCTGGTGGGCGGGGTCCAGACCAGGAAGCCGCCCTGTCTGCGAGGTTCGGATCTGTTCTGTTCCCGGCTCGAAGAAGCTCTCGCCCTACATTTGCCCTACTATAGGACATCAAGTGGAAGTCCCCCCCAAACGCCCCCACTGTTCCATCCATGCATACTTAAATGGCTTAATAAATCTTTCAGAAGATCCTGCCTTTCCTGTGTTTACCTCTGAAGGTAAAGTCCCTTACTCTCCAACTTAAAAAAAAAACAAAACAGTGTAGAACCGAAGAGATACCGTATGATTTGACCTGGAGTACTCAAGTTCTGCATAGAAACAGACTATGGAATATTGCTTACTAGGAAGGGGAAAGCAGTGCGGTAGATGGTCAGTTAGGGTGTACTCCCGCATCCCTTATTCCAGTTTTCAGACAGCCTTCTAACCACCAGCAAGCCAAAGCCTCAGGGGGAAAGAAGCCACAGACAGCCCACAGCTGATGAGCTGTTAGTCAGGCAGAAAGAAATGCTGACAGAAGTCCACCCCACCCCCAACTGAAAAGCAGCAGCACCAGGCCTGCAGATTGCCATAGCAACCAGAAAATGTTTTTTAAAGATTTATGTGTACAGGGCCAGGAGAGAGAGCTCAGAAGTTAAGAGTGCTGACTACTCTTGCAGAGGATCCAGGTTAGGTTGCAGCACCCACTTTGATCTACTCACAGTCACCTGTAACTCCAGCTTCAGCAGGATCCAGTGCTCCCTTCTGTCTTCTGTGAACACCCACACTTATACACACACACACACACACACAGAGAGAGAGAGAGAGAGAGAGAGAGAGAGAGAGACAGAGACAGAGACAGAGACAGAGACAGAGAGAGAGAGCGAGCCATGTCCAAGATCCCTACACATTGCTAGGCTATGTGGGGCCTCTGTCAGGTAGTGTTTTGACTATCTGATGTTGAAGGCAATGTGTGCTATGGGGAAGTTGTGAACTGGGGAGTCTTCTGGAAGGCAGAGAGCTCTTGCAAGCAGGGTTGGTGACAATGTAGTACACAGTAATCATGCAAAGTTGTCCTGTCCTCTTGTGCAGACTGGGGCAGTTCTTGGAACATCATTCTTACCCTTCTGAGGCCAGAGAGATGATGAAGGATGAGAGCTGGGTGGATGCACAGCCTCCAATGCCTTCCTCAAGCACCAATGCCGTTACTGTGCCCTGTACACCTTCATCCCACTGTGGGTACGGGTTGGTTTAGGACCTCAACAATTCACAAGCTAGTTTCTCTAATGGTGCTAACATCCTTTATTGGTTTCCTCAGGCTCCATGTTCAAAAGGTTTAAAGTTTGCTTTTTGAAACAACCTTACTATGTAGCCCTGGATGACCTGGAACTTAATAAGTAGACCAGACAGGCCTCAAGCTCACAGAACTCCACTGGCCTCTCTTCCCCAAGTCCTGGGATTTTAAAAGTTTTACCTCTACATCAAGCTATATTTAGGTTTTTAAATTAGCATGTATTTTATTGGTTTAAGCCTGGTAACACACATGCATACACACTCACACACACTGAGATGTTGTGGAATTTTTCTGGGAGATGTGTGTTCCTAGAATATTGTTCTGCAGCCAGCAAGTCGTGGAGACTAGTTTATATGCGTGCCAAAATTGGGTACAGCTGTTGTTTCCTTGCGTGTCATTACAGCAGTTCTGTTGGTAATTTTGAAAGCATTCTGTCCTGGGTTAACCAATGGGAACACATCCCATGGCTGTTCCATCTGTCATCCCCAAAAAGCAAATAGGCTTCTCTCAGCCCTCCTCTCTGATTGTGAGATGGTGTTCCTGCCAGTAGGCTACCCTATGACAATCAGGCATGGACTGTTTTTTTTCCAATCCAAACCCACTCTTTAGGTGGAGCTAAGTAAGCTGTCTGCTGTTTGGATAAGGGGATGGGAAGTGAGTACACCCAAGCATGGGAAACAATCATCTGGGCATATGGGGTAACTCACATTCGGCACCTGAATCTCAACAGTTCATTCCATCTGGGGAATAAGCCATTCAAGTCCTGCCTTAGCGTTTAAATGAGTGAGTTTTAACAGGTAGCAGAAAAACAGTAGAGCAGCAGATAAGCAACTGGGGCCCATGATTGACAAAATTTATTTGAGACAGTTGGGAGCTGAAAAGATGCTGGAAATGTGTTGTTCTCTGTTCTGTTTTCAAGGACACAGTATTTTTACTCTTGACTTGTTTTGGCTGTTCCCCTTTACCTTTCTCACAAGGTTGGAAGGACAATCCTCCATCCAGAGCCAGCTTCTCTTTGAATTCAAACACCACAGCCAGCTTGCTCTTTATGTCACAGTTGAGGAGATACGGATCCAGATGATAGTTTGGAAAATTGAGTTTGGGAGCATCACTTTAAAGGAGCCTGTGGTGGTTTGAATAAAAATGCCCTCCATAGACCCCACTCCATAGGGAGTGTCACTATTAGGAGGCTTTATTAGATAAAGTGTGTCTCAATCTGCTGCTGCTGCTGCCTGCTGTACAGATGTAGAACTCTCGGCTCCTTTCTCAGTACCACATCTGCCTGCATGCCACCATGCTTCTCACCATGATGGTAATGGGCTAAACCTCTGAGGGATTCATGTATCTGTTCCCAGGGCCCAGGGTCAGCTCTACTCCACCCCATTGTGCCTTCAGTCTGATATCCACCACTGTTCTGTTGAACATGCTCTCTGCCACTGGCCGCCTGCTTCCTCTCTGCCTCCTCCTTTTCTGTTTGTCCCTTATGTCTCCTCTGGAAGCTGACCCATTTTTTTGGTCTCTTTATCTGCCTTTCACTTTCCTTGAAGACTCTGATCAGCACTTCTATTCTTAGGATTCTCCACAATTCTAAAGCCAAGCCTTTAGTCTAAGTAAGACTTCCTTCGTGAGAGGGGCCAAGGCTTATACGATAACATCCAGCTTCAATGTACTATATAAAGGAATGGCAAGACTGGAGCTACATTCCTGTGTCTTATAGCCCAGCTCAAGTGTTCCTCCAAGAAGCCCAATCTGTCCCCTCTTTGGCACCACCAGAACCTGCTCTGGTAGAAAGAGCAAGGGCATAAGCTTAGAAACTGTCAGACTTCACATGCATCCAAACTGGGAGGTCCTAGCTAAGTTAATGCTTTTGACCCATTTTTCTCATTTACCACAACCCACTTGACAGTGCCATAACGAGGATTAAATAGCCTGCAAAGAGAGTGGCACACGAGCAGGGTGACACTGGTTCACGGCTTTAGTCCCAGCACTTGAGAGACTGAGGCAGATGGCTCTCAGGACAACCTGGTCTATGGAGTTCCACAACATCCAGGACTACACAGAGATACCCTATCTTGAAGAGTGTGACAGGCATTCATCTTTCAGCACCTTTTCTTCCCATCTTAGTGTTTCTAAGCCCCTGCTAGAGAGTGCTATTGGCACTATAGTCATCCCTCAGCCTGGCACACAGGCTCATCACATAGTCTAGGCCACCCGTGGTTTCAGTGACCAGTAACAAACACTTAGGACTCTACAAGACTGAGAGAAAGCTTTCTTTCCTGGTCCCAATGATATTGGTTTCCCCCAAGCAAAGCTCAGAGAGAAAGTAACAAGTTGCAGACATAAGTATCCTTTGCCATTTCCTGCCTTACAGAGGGCCAGCTAGGTGTGACTTGCTTTCCTGTGTCAGCCCAGCAAGGCTGCAGGCCACTTGAATCTGCTCCAGCAGTCCAGAGGCTTCAGGACTGGGAGTCCTATTTGTTAGGTTAGGTAGGCTCCCAATGCTAATCTGGCCAGGAGTCTTTAGTCTTTATCTGTAAGGTGGCATGGTGGAATTTCTCCAGCAGGATCTTTAGAGGACCTGGAGTCAGTCTTAGGTGGGGAGTAGCATTGTCTTGAGTGGACCTTTGTCCAACTTGGTACCGTCAAAGATGCTAATGAACACATTCAAGACCTACTACATTCATCCTACCCAGCAGTTTGCATAAAGTAAGTGATCAATAAATGTTTCTTGGACCACTGAGATGGCTCAGAGGATAAAGGCACTTGCTGTGCAAACCTAGTAAACCAAGTTCAATCTCTGGAATCTATATAGAGGTGGAGGAAGAGCTGGGCATGGTGGTGCATGCCTTTAATCCCAGCACTCAGGAGGCAATGGGAGGTGGATTTCTAATTCAAAGCCAGCCTGGTCTACATATTGAGTTTCAAGACAGACAGGGCTACAAAGAGAAACTCTGTCTCAAAAAGAAAGAAAATAAAGAGAGAAAAGGTGGAAGGATAGGACAGACTTCACAAAGTTGTCCTCCGACCTGCATAGGCAGAGCTGTAGCTGTTGTGATGTGTATACAGAGACAGACCAATAAAAACTATCTTTTAACTTAATAGAGCTTGTGACTGCTCTTCTACATGTCCTGAGTTCAAGTCCCAGAAACCACATGGTGGCTATAATGGGATCTGATGTTCTCTTCTGATGTGTCTGAAGACAGCTACAGTGTACTCACATAAAATAAATAAAATCTTGTCTTGAGAAATCCTATCTTGGAAAACTAAAATAAAGGATCTAAAAAAAAAAAAACTTAATAGAGCTATATCCCATCTGCTTTAGAGATGCAAACTGAGGAGGGTGTGGTTTTATCCTTCCCGGATAGCAAAAGACCCCGGGGTTAAAATATAATGCAAGCTCTCCTGCACTCTTCTCTTCCACCGGGAGGCGCTCCTTCCCTTTCAAGGGAGGGCTGAGCCCGGCCAGTCTTCATTGTGGTGTAAGAGACAGCCCTCATTTTACAATCCCAGACCTGCAGGGTTTCTTCAGTTTGCAGTCTTTTGAAATTATTATGGTGTGAAAGCAATACAACCTCAACCAAAATCTACCCCAGTATAGATGACAGCCCACAAAAGCTGAGAGCTCGGATCACCCTGCACAGC